ATAAACTATTCATTTCTAATTGTTTTGTTTAAAGGTAGACATATTTTGACTATCTATAGGCCTATTTCTCATGTCTATGAGGCAAGCATCCCATATGCTGAGTGTCGGCTCATCTGTGACGCGCTCCAGTTCTTGCAGTGGAAGACGGACTTTGTACTCTCAACAAGTGTCTGTGTGCTCATCAGACTTACCGTGTTACTGGTGTTGGCGGCAATTATCCTGTCGATAATATTGCATCGCGTGCTTCTGGTATCGAGTCTGGCACACAGGTACACTTTGGATCGTTTCCACATATTTTCTATCCATCTGGGTTGGGACGCTCACACACGCACGCGCGCACACACACACTCACGTGCGACGAGCTACGTCTCTGAGCAGCCGCGTAAACTAGTGTTTTACGCCACAGCCTATCATACTGCGTGCTTATTGTTTCACTGACGTTGGCGAGATTAACCACTTAGGTACCGAAATTTGGTATCGAAAAACAAGACATGTTTCGATACTCGGTAGTACCGAGGCAATTCGGTCGGTACCTAAAAAGTACAGAACTCGGTACCCAGCTGTAGTCCACAATAGGCTGAGAAAGGCTGGACTGAGGGCTTGTAGGCCTGTAGTAAGGCAGGTCCTTACCAGACATCACCAGCAACAACCCCGCCTATGGGCACAAACCCACCTTCGCTGGACCAGACAGGAGTGGCAAAAAGTGCTCTTCACTGATGAGTCGCGGTTTTGTCTCACCAGAGATGATGATCGATTTGGAGGTGTGTGTGTGTGTGTGTGTGTTGTGTGGGGTTCCGTCATGGTCTGGGGCGGTATATCACATCACCATCGGCCTGAGCGTGTTGTCATTGAAGGCAATCTCAATGCCTTGCGGTACTGGGAAGACATCCTCCTCCCTCATGTGGTACCTTTATGCTTGCTCATCCGGACATGATCCTCCAGCAGGAAAATGCCACTAGCCATACTGCTCTGTGCGTGAGTTTCTGCATGACGGCAATGTCAGTGTTCTGCCATGGCCAGCGAAGAGCCCGGATCTCAATCCTATTGAGCACGTCTGGACCTGTTGGATCGCGGGGTGAATGGTAGGCCACTCCCCAGAAATGTCCAGGAACTTGCAAGTGCCTTGGTGGAAGAGTGGGGGTAACATCTCACAGCAAGAACCGACAAATCTGGTTCCAGTCCATGAGGAGCAGATGCACTGCAGTACTTCAAGCAGCTGGTGGCCACACCAGATACTGACTGGTACTTTTGATTTCTACGCCATTAACGTCCGCGTCATTCCGCGTGTCTGTACACGCAGTCAAATCTCCAGTCATAAATTACATTAACCCCAGTGACGGTTAAGTTTAGGGATGGGGTTGAGGTAAGTCATATCTTTTTCTTTCCTAGGATGGTAAGGGAACAGTCATAAATGCCATTAACCCCAGTGACGGTTAGGTTTAGGGACAGGGTTGAGGTAAGTCATATATTTATATAACGGTAAGTCAACGGCGTTCATAAACACGCTGAAAGGCGATTATGCGTCTTGATAGCACGCCAAAAATGGAAATACAAATTGGCGTGTCATACACACGCTACTTCATGAGATCAGTCTGGAATATTCTTTCTATCCTCAATTAAAGTTTGGATGTGTGTCTAGCTTTGAAATCATTTATCACATATAAATCCTATATGGCCATCTGAGAAGACTATATACTAAACGTATGACATGTGACACAGGTGACAATAAAAGGACAAGACATTACTCACCGTATTTGTTGACTGATTCTTACTCACCTGGGCTTTTTATGAACTCAAAAGGCACGGACGCAAAAGATAAAATAAATAACCAGGCACATGGACGGCACATTAACAGGCTATCGAGTTACTAGCGTGTTGTGCTAACAATAACAGAAGCTAGAGACATAAGGTTTATCTGAGATGTTGGGTAAGCTGTATTTATTAGTATAAACAACTAGAAATGATAGTAAATGATGGTTCAAATCAGAAAGAGCTAATACGATACTTAGACTTGAGTTTACAGCCTCGAAGCAAACAAACACACAGCCAGGTAGACAGTAGCAATCGATCAGGTGTCAATGTCGCAACCAATTTGTCTAAAAAAAGACTGACGACAAAAAAAAAAAATAGCACAGGAACCATGTTATTTCTTTTAATTTTATTATCAATTTGTTTTTTAGTCACTCAATATGCTTTTTTGTCACTTAGCCAGCAACAGAGAAACTGGTAACCAGGCAACAGACAAGTGACCAATCCTGAGTGGCGATGTCACCACACACATTCTTCCATCACGGTTCACGGTTAGCCAAGTGTGCTGAGAGTTCAGGGCCGAGAACAGTTTGCAATTGTGCCGTGCTGTGGAAACACAACTGGAACCTTTTCCAAAGCTGAAAAAGCAGCTTTTGTTTCTCGGTAGATAAAGATGAACTACTAACTAGGGCTGCAAAAATGGCATTGTGATATTTTAATTTTCTGCGATATTTCACCAGATTAAAGTGAATTGTTCAAATGAGTCACTCGTTGGAGAATCAGATGTGTCATTAGTGGATGTGTAGCCTACGGCGAGCATTGTGTGAATATCTCGGCAGTTTAGGACATCGCGCAAGATTTGTGTCAACATAGAAAACATTTAGTCGCTGGAAAGTTTTTTTTTTTCGTTTAATTGAAATTGTGGTTTAGGTCAGCTGAATGTGCGGAACGCTTTTTAGATATAAACTCAGCAAAAAAAAAAAACGTCCCTTTTTCAGGACTGTCTATTTCAACAATAATGTTATAAAAATCCAAAAAACTTTACAGATCTTCATTGTAAAGGGTTTAAACAATGTTTTCCATGCATGTTCAATTTACCATAATCAATTAATTAACATGCACCTGTGGAATGGTCATTAAGACCTTTACAGCTTACAGAGAGTACGCACTTAAGGTCACAGTTCTAAAAACGCAGGACACTAAAGAGACTTGTCTACCGACTGTGAAAAACACCCAAAGAAAGATGCCCAGGGTCCCTGCTCATCTGCGTGAACATGCATTAGGCATGCTGTAGGGAGGCATGAGGACCGCTGATGTGGCCAGGGCAATAAATTGCCATGTCCGCACTGTGAGACGCCTACGACAGCGCTACAGGGAGACAGGAAGGACAGCTGATCATCCTCGCAGTGGAAGACCACGTGTAACAACACCTGCACAGGATCGGTATATCCGAATATCACACCTGTGTGACGGGTACAGGATGGCCACAACAACTGCCCGAGTCACACCAGGAACACACAATCCCTCCATCAGTGCTCAGACTGTCCGCAATAGGCTGAGAGAGGCTGGACTGAGGGCTTGTAGGCCTGTTGTAAGGCAGGTCCTTACCAGACATCACCAGCAACAAAGCCCGCCTATGGGCACACACCCACCTTCGCTGGACCAGACAGGAATGGCAAAAAGTGCTCTTCACTGATGAGTCACGGTTTTGTCTCACCAGGGGTGATGGACGCATTCGTGTTTATCGTCGAAGGAATGAGCGTTACTCCGAGGCCTGTACTCTGGAGCGGGATCGATTTGGAGGTGGGGGGTCCGTCATGGTCTGGGGCGGTATGTCACATCACCATCGGACTGAGCTTGTTGTCATTGCAGGCAATCTCAATGCCTTGCGGTACAGGGAAGATATCCTCCTCCCTCATGTGGTACCCTTTATGCATGCTCATCCGGACATGATCCTCCAGCAGGACAATGCCACCAGCCATACTGCTCGTTCTGTGCGTGAGTTTCTGCATGACAGCAATGTCAGTGTTCTGCCATGGCCAGCGAAGAGCCCGGATCTCAATCCCATTGAGCACGTCTGGGAACTGTTGGATCGCAGGGTGAGGGCTAGGGCCATTCCCCCCAGAAATGTCCAGGAACTTGCAAGTGCCTTGGTGGAAGAGTGGGGTAACATCTCACAGCAAGAACTGACAAATCTGGTCCAGTCCATGAGGAGGAGATGCACTGCAGTACTTCAAGCAGCTGGTGGCCACACCAGATACTGACTGGTACTTTTGATTTTGAGCCTCCCTTCATTCAGGGACAGATTATTCTCTTTCTGTTAGTCACATATCTGTGAAACATTTTTAGTTTATGTCTTATGGTGTTGACACTTTTAGTGTTCATACAAATATTTACACACATTAAGTTTACTGAAAGAAAAAACAGTTGAAAGTCAGAGGACGTTTCTTTTTTTGCTGAGTTTATATGAGGCAAAGTTGTCGTTTTTTTTTTTTTGCGCAATTTACCCCCCACAGTAATTCAGGAGAGAATGCTCCATATGAACCTTCAGTCTTTCGACCTTTGAACATTGCTTCAATTGATGTTGATTAATATGTATGATCGTGAGTGAGAGAGAGCAAGACATCGCTCGTGTTGTTTAAAGACAATGAGAGCGAACGTGCAGCCGGGGCAGTCATTCTATTCTACACCACTCACGATCAAAAAGGCTTTAGTTTGGTGGGACAAAAATCTGATCTGAACTTTGCGTAGCTACACTTAAAAACACATGCAAATTAAATAACTTTCACGATATGATGGTTAAACTTTGCAATTAATCTTTAATGTTTTCTGGGCCAGAAAGCAGCTGACCTGTACGGATCATGAATCACGGATCAATTATGATACCTATTGCACATCTTGCGATATGACTATCGTGGATGCGCACATAATCGATGCTGAAATTAATTATCGACATTGTTATCGATGCTGAAATAATATATATTGTGCAGCCCTACTACTTACTATGATCTCAGACTGTGTTGATGGGGTTTCTCCACTGCATGGATCTTCATGTGTAGCTTCAGGTGATGGTTAAAAGAGAAACTCTTCCCACACTGATCACACTTGTAGGGTTTCTCTCCAGTGTGGACCCTCTTATGAGTTTTCAGATTTGATGGCCGACTGAATCTCTTGTCACAGTGTGAACACTTGTAAGGTTTTTCTCCAGTGTGGATCCTCTCATGTTTTTTTAGACCTGATGACTGATTGAATCTCTTGTCACAGTGTGAACACTTGTAAGGTTTTTCTCCAGTGTGGATCATCTCATGTTTTTTCAGATATGATGACTGATTGAATCTCTTGTCGCAGTGTGAACACTTGTAAGGTTTTTCTGCAGAGTGGATCATCTCATGTGTTTTCAGATTTGATGACTGCCAGAATCTCTTGTCACAGTGTGAACACTTGTAAGGTGTTTCTCCAGTGTGGATCTTCTCATGTGTTTTCAGAATTGCTGACAGACGGAATCTCTTGTCACAGTGTGAACACTCGTAAGGTTTTTCTCCAGTGTGGATTGTCTTGTGTTTTCTCAGAGTTGATGACAGATTGAATCTTTTGTCACAGTGTGAACACTTGTAAGGTTTTTCTCCAGTGTGGATTATCTCATGTGTTTTTAGATTTGATGACTGACGGAATCTCTTATCGCAGTGTGAACAATTGTAAGGTTTTTCTCCAGTGTGAATTCTCTGGTGTCGTTTTAATTCTCTCCCTGTAGTAAAAGTCTTCCCACACTCAAAGCACATATGAACTCCTACACCAGTATGAATTCTTTGATGTACTTGTAAACTACACAGCTGGGAAAACCTCTTTCCACACACAGAACATGAATGTGGCTTCTCCTTCGTATGAACTCTCACGAGTCTCTTCAGGTCTGATGACCCAAGGAAGGTTTTTTCGCACTGATCACATGTGAACGGCTTCTCTCCAGTGTGAACTCTGATGTGAACATTAAGATCATGTTTGAATGTGAAACTCTTTCCACACTGAGTGCAGGTGAAAGATTTATTGTCTTTTCTTTTCTTTAAAAATGTTTTTTTTGTATTTGAGCGACTCAAAGGTTTTTCTCCAGGTTTGACAAGATGTTCCTCCTTCACTTCACTCAGTTCTTCTCTCTCCTCCTTCACTTCTCTCAGTTCTTCACTCTCCTCCTTCACTTCACTCAGTTCTTCTCTCTCCTCCTTCACTTCACTCAGTTCTTCTCTCTCCTCCTTCACTTCTCTCAGTTCTTCACTCTCCTCCTTCACTTCTCTCAGTTCTTCTCTCTCCTCCTTCACTTCTCTCAGTTCTTCTCTCTCCTCCTTCACTTCACTCAGTTCTTCTCTCTCCTCCTTCACTTCACTCAGTTCTTCTCTCTCCTCCTTCACTTCTCTCAGTTCTTCACTCTCCTCCTTCACTTCTCTCAGTTCTTCTCTCTCCTCCTTCACTTCTCTCAGTTCTTCACTCTCCTCCTTCACTTCTCTCAGTTCTTCTCTCTCCTCCTTCACTTCTCTCAGTTCTTCTCTCTCCTCCTTCACTTCACTCAGTTCTTCTCTCTCCTCCTTCACTTCTCTCAGTTCTTCACTCTCCTCCTTCACTTCACTCAGTTCTTCTCTCTCCTCCTTCACTTCACTCAGTTCTTCTCTCTCCTCCTTCACTTCACTCAGTTCTTCTCTCTCCTCCTTCACTTCACTCAGTTCTTCTCTCTCCTCCTTCACTTCACTCAGTTCTTCTCTCTCCTCCTTCACTTCTCTCAGTTCTTCTCTCTCCTCCTTCACTTCACTCAGTTCTTCACTCTCCTCCTTCACTTCTCTCAGTTCTTCTCTCTCCTCCTTCACTTCTCTCAGTTCTTCACTCTCCTCCTTCACTTCACTCAGTTCTTCTCGCTCCTCCTTCACTTCTCTCAGTTCTTCACTCTCCTCCTTAACTTCACTCAGTTCTTCTCTCTCCTCCTTCACTTCCATCAGTTCTTCTCTCTCCTCCTTCACTTCTCTCAGTTCTTCTCTCTCCTCCTTCACTTCCATCAATTCTTTTCTCTCCTCCTTCACTTCACTGAGTTCTTCTCTCTCCTCCTTCACGTCACTCAGTTCTTCGCTCTCCTCCATTTCCATCAGTTCTGAAATGAAAGAAACTTTTTTTTTAAATCAAAGTAATTAAAAGAGATACATTCGACTACATAAGACAACAAAGAATACATCGATTAATGAAAAGAAAAGAAAGAAAGAGAAGACCAAAGAATGGCAAATATCAGTTAACCTTAAGGCAGGGGCAATCTTAAAGGGATAGTTCACCCCAAAATTAAAATTCTGTCAGTAATGGGCTTTATGCGCGATCGCTTCCGTGTTTTGTCCCAGCTTGCCCAGTTACATCCGGTGCTGCGTCAGAAACCGGTTTTGCATTAGGTGGAGATAGTGGCAACTTACACTTGCTGTTTACAAAAACTTCCTGCAGTTAACGTGAATGATGTTAACAACACTGTGAGGCAGTTAGCGGTCACACATAAGAGTAAAAAAGAAGGGCGTTAAATTATATATTTCGAGCTACATCGACAACTTTGAGGGTGAGTTCTCTTATATCTTCAGAAATCAGTTTCTAAAATCATTGTCTCCATTTCGGAGAAAATGAATTATATTGAAGTTTTTCCGCTGAACACTTTGCCTGCAGAACGTGCTATGCGGAAGTAAAGAAGCTGGCTGAGATCCTAACGGACGTACGACAGCGGGGTTCGTGCATAGAGCCTATTACTTGCCTCATTTTCTACCAACCTCATAAGGCATTCCAGAGCCAAGATTGATTTTTAGCTTGAGATTGATTCAAGGCCACTGCACTCACACGCAGACACACCTCCCAGCAGATCGCCGCAACACCTCCCACCCGATCTTTGCACGGTGCAAGCGGAAAGATCTCACCACTCAGGCGAACTGGTCCCCAACAAATTGATCCTCTGCTAGAAGGAGGACGATGAGGCACCGTACGTCCCGATGCAATATGGTACCCTGGAAATCCTTTTCTTTAGACCCGGACTCTTTGGCAAGTCCGAGATCTGGAATCTTCGCCTGAACACACCCGCTCGGAGAGACTTTCACGTGGACATCCCGGACTATGCCTTTAGAATCTGCGTTCACACTGATGACTCTTGCTAGCTTGAACTGCCCCCTTAATGTATTTGATCCTTTCGGCAGTATGCCACTTGCTGCGGATGAACAGGTTTGGACCTGCAAGCTGGCTCCAGGACTTCCAAAAGTAGCTAACTTGGGTTTGCATCTCTTGCGGCTTTTAAAGATGTAAGTAGCAGTCGAATTCTTTGAAATCTCCTCCCTGTGAAGCTCGACCAAGCAACAGGGTGTTCGGAGTGATGTATTGGATACTTCACAGCTCTGGACTCTGGCATCGATAGGCCTTTCGTTAGCAAGGTTGGCAGCTAGTTTGAGCACCGTCAGGAATTCGCCAAAAGTAAGGCCTCCTTATCTACTGAGACTTTGGAGAGCTCTTTTGGTGATCTTGACCGCAGCTTCAGCAGCGCCGTTTCGATGAGGTGAGTTGGCTGGAAGGATTTTCCATGACCAGTAAGTCCCATTCTTAGCAGCATATTCCTCCAGCGACTCTTTGCTTTGTTGTCTTAGGTAAGCATACATCTCTTCCAGGACACGCTTTGCTCCAATAAAATTTGTACCTGGATCGCACCAGATCTTCTGAGAATGACCTCGGATAGAAGTAAACCTCTGGTAAGCAAGTAGAAAGCTCTCTGTTGTTAGCGCGCTTGCCAGTTCGACATGGATGGCTCGGCTTGACATGCAGCAAAAGAGCACACCCCATACTTTCATGCTCACTCTCTTTCTGACATCATCCTTTACTTCGTACGGTCCAAACATGTCAACAGACGTGAATTGAAACGGTGCCGCCGGGCTCGACCTCTCTTCAGGTAAATCTCCCATTATTTGCCGACACGCCTTGGCTTTTGCCTTCCTGCACGAGATACACCTGTCAACAACTTTTCTTGCTATAATTCTCCCCCTGATGACCCATGCTTTCTTTTGCATCCGCAGCAAAGTTCCTGCCACCCCATCATGTCCCTCACTATGTGCTTCTCGGGCAAGGAGGGTAGAGATCCAGGACTGGAAAGGTAGCAGGGGAACTGCTCTCTGGTCCTCTTTGAAGGTCTGTTGTCCTTCAGTGATTCTGCTTGTGATCATCAGGTGACTTCAATAATGCTCAATCATCACTAAATTAATCTCAATAACTTCAACACTCTTGAGTGTTAATTTAACACTCATATCTGCATCATACATTCCATCTGAAAGCAGGTGTAGGTGATTTACTGCTAATCAATGAACCGGCTTTACTGATTAGATGCGCATAACAATATCGTGCGATTAATCGTGCAGCCCTAATCTTTAGAAATTAATATGAAAATCAATTCTGAATTGGTGAATTGATTTTTTCAACACAGCACTAGCAACCCCCCCACCCCGTAAAAGATCGAGAATAATGATCAATTCAATCTAATAATCAGTAATTAAGTAATTAAACGTGTGGCTGAGGGGTGCCTTAGGATGATCATGTTTAATAAACATTTTTCTTCGCTTCTCATTCTAACTCAGAGATTTCTCGATTAATGGGGAGTAGCATTGGGATTGGGACTACAGCTGGGTTATGGTACGTCACTAACCCACACATTTGCATCAACCACTCCCTCCGGAATAAGCAGAAAAGGGCATGGCCATATTTCGTTTCATACTTCGTCAACAATGGATAGAATTTATGTTTGATTATGTTCCTGAAAATGACGATCGTAATCTAGCTCTCTGTGCTGCGCATTTACGGAAGACAGCTTCCAGAATCTCCACGAGTTCAACACCGGATTCTGTTACTGAAACATGAAGCAGTTCCAACTTTAAAACCAGAGGCAGCAGTTGTTGGGCCACAACCTGTAAGTAGGCTAAGACTTAACCATTTTAAATGTATTTGCATTTATAATTCCAGACATTGCCTTGTGTTTTAGTTTGTTTCAAATGCCAGCGCTAGCTTTATTGCCACTAGGCTATTAGTTATGCTATTTTGTGTCTACGACAAACGCGTACAAACATGAATTTTGTATAAGTGCTAATGTTAGAAATGTATTTTTCATGTATATATGTTTTATGACGTTATTTTCGATTTGATCAAGAACGTACTTGCCACCGCTGTTTGTGTTTAACATTAGTAGCCAGTCAGTTGCTATTGTTGCCAGTCAGATGCTATTGTGTTAAACAAACGTGTATAAATTTAAAAAATTTAGCGAATTATCATTCAGAAACGTTTATTAAGAGCCGTGTGTGGTGAGGTTCTGTTTGACTCGCTTCATCGCGGCTTTGATTCTGCCTCAAACTGATACTGCAGTTCAACGCATATTTACATCTGGACAGGAGGTCATGACGTGCCCGTAAAGGTAATGGGCGTTACCTTTCCGAACAACGTAAGCGACAGTTTAGCCAATCACAACACACCGGGCCAAGCTAACCAATCTGAGCCCACGACGTGTTTCTGAGGGAGTGGTTTCATAGACTCAGGAAGTCAACCGCTCGTTCGAGGACAGAGGAGAGCGCGGCTGACAATAAACGTGAAGTTTATGAAAAATAAGACTTTTCAAAAACGAAAAACCACGAATACATGTTATATTGCACCCCATAAACACAATCATGCAACGAAAAAAAGCAGTCAACCACCCCTTTAAGTCCAAGTGACTACAGTGGCTCAATCTTCAGTTTATCAAGCAACGAGAATACTTTTTGAGCGCAAAAAAACAGCAACAAAAATAACGACTTTATTTCAACTATTAATTACCTTCTCTGTGGGCCTTGTTGTACATCACACACATGACCGGCGTCGGCCAATAGTCCATCTACGTGTGACATAGCACTACGGTATCACAATACGTTAACTGACTAGAGGCCCACAGAGAAGGAAATGAACAGTTAAATAAAGTCGTTATTTTGGAGTTTTTTGAACACAAAAAGTATTCTCATCACTTGATAAACTTAAGATTGAGCAATTTGGACAATTTTAATGATGTCTTTTATAACTTTTGAGGGCTTGGCAAGTTTCAATCCCTAAAAAGCCTATGGAGGAGTGATTAGATTTAATCACAAATATCTTAATTTGTGTTCCGAAGATGAACCAAACTCTTACGGGGTTGGAACAACGAGGGTGAGTAAATACTGACAGAATTTTCATTTTTGGGTGAACTAACCCTTTAATTATACATCCCTGAAACTAATTTAACCATAAATTAGGGACGCAGATCTTCCAGTTATAAAACATTAGTTTCTGTAGTTAGAACTATTAAAATACTGCCATAGTATTTGACACCAACATTGAAATTTAACCAGTTAACCTTCGGGCAACCGACGGCGCTCTGAAGCCCTCCCCCCCCCCCACTAGTTTAATGTTTATGAATGGATTTAACATGAAAGAAGATCATTAATCTTGGCAAACTATATATAATTTTAAAGGTCTAAGCCTCGGGCATCGATGTCAGTGCACTGTTTTTCGATGGAAAGCTTATAACAAATGTATTTCTTGCATTTAGGTAAGCAGTACACATAAGAACGCACGTAAACAAAAACGGAGTACTCACCATTATTTTGTAATAACGAGCCAGACACGCATCCACTGTTAAAAATTCCAGATTGAATGGAAAGCTGAGGGTCCACTGAATAACATCCCATAGAGCATTTTTTGTCCAAAGAAAAAATAATGTTGTAATATCCATGGTAATTCCTTTGTTTACATCGCGTTTCTTCAGGGTGAATATCATGCGGTTTTGTTATGCAATAAAATAGTCCATAGAAAACAGACTCCCGGTAGCAGACCCTTATATGGGTGTGTTGCTTAGAGTGTAATGAACAAATTACGACCGCGCACACACACACAAATACAAAGATAAGCGATATCTAGTTCAAAATATGCAAACACTGCAGTCCGTTTTTTTGACGTCATGATATGCACATCATATCATTCTGTCTTTATAACGAAAGCCAATAAAAGAAACGACATGATATGACTGGTAAAACATGTAGCCAACCAGTGCACGATTCCAACGTTGCCCGGGAAGTTTGAATTTCTCACACGAACATATGTTTTTATTTGCTCTCCGTCCGGTAGAGGAGCTAAACTTCAGGCTCTGCAGAGCCACAGCCACACCCACCGCGGTCATGTTTTGACAGGCCTGCTATAGCTAAGAGCTAAGATAACAAGCTAAGAGGTAGCTAGTCAACAAACATCTGTTCGTGCAGACATGCAGACTGTCATAAAATAATTTGTCAAAAGAAGTATTTTTCTGCTGAAGTAGTTATTCGAGATCACTCGAAGATGGATTATGTCGACATTGATGAGAAGATGAGTGATGAGAAGATCGTGACGACGGTGATAATTATGCTTGAGGGCGGAAAAGATTATCCAATTTTCGGTGAGTTGCTTTATACATAACTTATGTAACATGCACACATTATACGTGTGTCTGTGTGTGTGTGGGTGGGTGAGAGAGAGAGAGAGAGAGTGTTTGGTTTCCAGTTGTTTCATACGGAAAATGCAATGTGTAAAGTTGTGTCTGAAAAGATTATGCGTTACTTTATATGCATTTATTTATTTGTATATATGTATTTATATGCTTTGAACGGTTATGCAGTTGTTTGCCGTTTTTTTCTGGCACATGTGGTGTGCTATCTGAAGGATGGAGGGGCTGGACACCTGTGCAATATACATTTTTTCCTAGCACACATACTGTATATTTTTACAGTCTAATATACATAATATTTATAGTACACATGCAAATATTTGTACTGTAAATATGATGTATGTTGTACTGTAAATGTATATATATATATATATATATATATTGTTGTTGTTTTTTTTTTTTTGTTTTTTTTTTTTTTTTTTTTGCAGAAATTGGTGGGAAGAATTGCAGAAAATATGTGCTATATAGGAAGGAGTTGTATGCTTTCAAAATGCCACATTCCTGTCTGATGGCCGGCCATCAGTGTGATTGTTGGTTCTTTGTCTGGTCATCCATATGAATGCTGTCTATATCACTGGCCATTGATTGTTGATTGAATGGATGAGCTTTAGTACGAATGCTGTGTAAACGACTGCCCATCAGTTTGATTGTTGAATGAATGGCCAGCTATATAGAAACTAAACAGAATTATTTACTTGACATGCAGTGCTAATTATCTTTCCATTCTTTCCCATGCAACAGCCATCAAGTTGAATCTTCAGATGAAGAATGGCATCCAAGCACCAGCCAGAGATGCAAGCTCTCAGTTTCTTCACTATTCTTCACTTTTTCCATACTTTTCAGAACATTGCAATTCACAAGAGGATGGTGGCATCAAAAGCTAGGAATGGACTAAAGCAATATATGAAGGCCAAGCCAACAAAGTACAGTATTTATATCACTTGTATTTTCTATTGCAAAGAACCTCAGTTATTTATTTTTTATATTTCATAATATTTTACTTATGTATTTTACATATATATTTTTTTTGTTCTGTTGTGCAAATAAATCACTTGCATAAAGTCTAATGGTTGTGTGTATTATTTTATAATTGCATTATTTTATGAATTGACTGAAATAGCTTGCAGTGCCCTGCATAACATTTGGTCATTAGGTTGCTTTTTGATGTATCCAAGGAGGTTTCTTGGTACCTGGACATAGTCTTGGAAAAAATACTGTAGGAATCTCATTTTTCATAATATCTTCCTCAAATTTGAAATATAAACTGATGAGACTTATGTCTTTCAATCAATTACCTAACTGGATTCCTACAGGTTTGTTTTCATTTATTTTTACATGAAATTGTAAAATATTACATGCAGTATAAATTATCTTCAAGACACTTTAAATTCTATATCTTTTTGTCTGTGTAAGTTTTTTCAACTTTAACAGTTGGGTAATACACTCTAAAGTGTCTTCTTTTTTAACATGTCTAAATTGTGCATGTAGTGCAAATAGTTGAGCAACTGCAAATATTTTAGTTTGGGCATGTTATTTCTGGGGATGTGCCTCAGGCAGGGGGAGGGAGAAAGGGAACTGACATAGTCTTGGAAAAAAGTTTGCAGGAACCCCATTGTTCATTATATCTTCCTCAAATTTGAAATATAAACTGATGAGACTTGTTGCTTTCAATCCTTTATCTATCTGAATTACTCCAGGTCTATTTTTATATATTTGTACATGAAATACTAAAACATTTTTGTGGCGCACATTATTTTTGAGGCACTTTTAACTTTTATAACTTTTTTTCTGTTTGAGCATTATCAAATCTGATTGATTGTTAGTAAAGTCCCAACTGTCTTCTTTCCAAAGATACCTTAATTGTGCCTGTGGTACACTGTTCTCAGGAGCTGTATTTATTGTTATCCAGGCATGTCATTTTCAGCTGTGAGCCCCCTTGTGGAGCTGAAGGTTAACAGGTTAATTGCATTACAAACTACTAAAACGGTTGAATTATTAAGGACTGTTTAAGAAACACAAGATGCATTTCAGTGCAAGAAACTATTTTGTAAAAACATGTACAAAATTCAGGTAACATTCTTACACACTGTAAACCATATATAAAATAAAACAGTTAAAATATATCAATTTAGTTTGACCTGATTTTGACAATTAATATGAAACTTCACTCTACTGACCATTTGTTGTAAAAAAAAGAAAAAATTTCACAGTTGAACTGTTTATCTAAAAGTGATGAAGTGCTTGAATGTTTCTAACATGAATGTTCTCCAGCATCATGAATGAATGAAGAATAAACACCAACCTCTTTGTTCTTCAGGATCTTCAGTGTGTTTCATTCTGCAGGGTTCTGGATCACTCATGTTCTCACTGTCCTCTTTAATAAACTCAGTCTTTACAGATTTCAGCTCTTCCTGATGCTTTCATGCTCATCTTCACTAGTAGCTGATGGGAATTTACAGCATTTATTGGAGAATGGCAGTGGGAGGAGTTTCACTGATGATGGATTACAGTGGGAAGAGCTTCACTGATGATGTGATCTGCCAAAATATCAAATAAGTTATTGAGTTTGTTTTTTTAAGCTCATAGACAACATATTAAAATAATGCAAATTATTCCAAAAATAATTAATGGTAAGAAAAGCTGTAAAAAAGCATAAACAGGAATAAACATATAGGCTAGTAACCAACAAATACTCTCAGCCTGTTTACACCAATGAAATTGTACATTTACAGGAGATGTGAAGACATCAGCATAATAAATGAGGAGAAAACAGGAACTATTGTCAAGAAATAAAGAGTGTTTTCAGCAGATCTGTTAATATTGATGATCCTCCGACTATCAACACTCAATCAATAAGCCATTCATGATCATCATCTCTCTTTATTCTGTTTTCTGTTAGTCAGGATAGATGATAAGTCTGTAAAACTACACTAGTGAAAGACAATACTGTTATTTTTTCACAATATAACATGGATAAATCATCAATAATATAACACAATATTTCAATAAATAGCCTATTTTACGAACCTCTACAGTCAAATGCCTGTCTACAACACCATAATATGTAAATCTAAAGTAATTTTTGCAGCCAAAGATAAATATAGACAAAGAAATAAAGGTAAACAAAATGGCAACAACTTGAGATAAATCCCAAAAACTAACACACACTCACTCAGGTCTGAATGAACTCCACATATTCTCCTCAGACTCGCTGCTGCTGCACTAAATGTGTATTTCAGGAGGAAGACGCCAAAAAAGACGCACAAGCATCGCTGTGATCGGTGAAAAAAATACAGAAATGAGTCTGTCGCTTGAACAAACATTATAAAGTGTGTGATGGGTGTGTAAATATGAGAAATACCGTGAACTCCTCTCCTCACCTCAGAAGACTCGACGCTGAAACTCAACGAGGGAAAATAGTCTTGAGACGCGGCGCGAGCGGTGACGTCATCGGCACGCGCGCACGTCATACGCTGAGCTAAAGAGGCCCACTTTAAACTTTTACACAACATTTACCCTATAAAATGTTTTGTTTCCAAGTTTCTAGACAATGGCACATGGTGTAGCTTTTGTAAACAGGACACTGAAACCATTCCTCATTTATTTTTAATTGTCCAGTTACCAAAAGGTTTTGGGAAGGTTTGGGTACTCACTTTATCCAATCTCAAAATATAACTCACTCATTCACCCTGAAAGATTGTATCTGTTACTTGTGTTTCCCACAAGATGGCTCCCTGGAGTTTGTATTAAACTTTATAATCTTATATGCTAAGTTCTTTATACACAAGCAAAAATGTGATAAGTCTTCCTTATGTTTTAAACATTATATTTTGGAACTTAATATGTTTCTTAAATCACACAAGCTTGTAAAGAACAAGAAGAATGGAACACTTTTGTGTCAATATGACCTATTCCCCAATTCCTCTTAATATTCTTGTTTTTTTTTTTTTTTTGTCTTTTGTATGTTTTGTTCTTTGTCTCTGGTATGGTATGTCTGTACAAATGTTTGATTGTATATTGATGGTTTTTTTACGTTTGTACCCAATGTTGCCTTCAATAAAAAAATTAGAGAGTGAAATTTATAAATACATTTTTTAAATATATATTCAGAACATAAAAAAAGAAGCAGGAACGAACTATATACATATTCTATTTCGGATATTAACATCTAATAGTGTAAATCGCGGCAGCAGCTTCAGGTTGGTTATCCAAGACATTGTTGTCTATCTGTACTTCGGGGATTCTTCCCACCGGAGCCTCGCTTTCGATTTCAATTTAATGTTTTATTTCATGTATTTACAATATTTAATGCTGGTTTCACTAGTGACACCAAATGCTCTTAAATATGTATCCGCAGCAGCTCAAAGTTAATATCTGGTCAGAACTCATCTTTGAAGGGCAAAGAAAAAGAGTAGAAATATTTTCTGATGAAAAAAAGCATCGCTTTATTAGCGGTTGAATATTCCAGCCAGGCGTCAATGTCTCTCTTTCTATTCAAAATCAGCTTGAACAAAACATTTGTGTTTAGTGTCAAAAGGCCTTCAGAATTCCCAGGTCACCTGCTTTTTAGGCCTTTCCGGTGTCAAATGAATATGAAATGACAAAAGAGAGTTCAATGTCAAAATAGTTTTATATTTAATTAATGTCTATTTACATTCTTGACCTGACACAAAGTAAATCTCGATGAATGAATGAGGATTCAAGAATAAACACAAAACTATTTGTTCAAAACAAACTTTAACTAAAGGCTGAAAGAACTAATTGATGAAATTGATCATGAAAATAATCAACAACCAAGCTGATTATAATAAACATGTCAATTTACAGCAGTCGAAAAACATTACTATGGACAAAACGCATCTGAAAAATAACGTGGTTGGTGAGCACAGGAACCATGTTATTTCTTTAATCTTATTATAAATTTGTGTTTACGTCATTCAATATGCTGTTATGTCGCTTAGGTACAGAGAAACTGGTAACCAGGCAACAGACAAGTGACCAATCCTGAGTGGCGATGTCTAGGGATGCAGCGATTACCGGATTTCACAATTAACCGCGATTTTAAACGTCACGGTTAATTAATTGTAAAGATTAATGTATTCACCGTGTATTCTGCACGGGCAACTAACACAAAACGAAAACAAAGTTACACCAGCGGTGCACCAGCTTAAAGTGCTCATCAGTCACTATGGCAGAGGGACTAAGAAGCGACGCTCTATTTCCACAGAAAAAAAAACGCCTCAAGTCAGCAGTGTGGGAGCATTTTGCGTACACAAAGAATAACAAGGGTGGAATAGAAGACGACGGATCGCCTGTCTGCAAAACTTGCCGTAAAAAAGTTTCCGTTTATTATTTTCGTTAACAAAATTTTTTCACAGACAAAAACGAGATGAGAAACTAATAAAAACTAGATGCAAAGGTTAGATAGTGATGATCTGGGGAGCGATCCAGTCAGAACTGATGTCCTGCGTGTGTGATGCGCACATTTGTTCTGTTGGTCTACCCTGCGGTGCCAAAACATGTTAAAAAAATGTAAATGTCTGGGAGAATGAGTAGAGCAGACATAGTCTATAGATCTGAATAAGAGTGACGATGCAAAAAAAGAGCTGTATTCGGTAACGTTACGGTTTTCTGTGGGCACAAACCAGACGCGTGCAGCCATGCTCATAGACACATACAGCGCGCGGGTACTGGACTGAGCTCTCTTTCGTGTCTGAATAGACAAATACACACAACATTATGTCTAAATGTCCGGTTTGGACAGTATTCATGTAAACTATGTCGGTTATGTCTTAAACAGTTGTGAGTGTACCGTGTGCATCAGTGCAATTGGATCCGCATGTCATAGGACATGATCCGACTTCTTAAAGCGACAGTGTAAACCTAATGCGGTCTGTGTCCTTAATATTGATCAAGCAACAAAAGAAAAGAGAAAAGCATTCACTGTTTGTTAATAGCTTTAATAAGGATTAATTATATTCATGCAAATAAATATGTCTGCTTGAAAGAATAAAGAATGATGTATGCAAGTAGTTATAAAGAAAGCATATATCATTCATTGAAAAGAAGACTTTAGGTAAAGTGGTTTTATTTTGTTTTGTTTTTGTTTGTCATTTTATAATTTGTACCATGTTGTGGCAGCAAAAATTAATACGTTAAAATCTAATGTTGAGTGTTCATGTGATAGGCTATACATTAGTATTGTTGTGAAATTAATTGATGCATAATAATCGTGATAATCGTTAAACTGTGATTATTTCTCAGACAATAATCGTACTTACAAAATCTGTAATCGTTGCATCCCTAGCGATGTCACTACCCACATTCTTCCATCACACTTCACGGTTAGCCAAGTGTGCTAAGAGTTCAGCGCCAAGAACGGTTTGTAATTGTGCCGTGCCGCAGCAGGCTCAAGTGGACACACAACTAGATCCAAAGGTGGAACAGCAGCTTTTTTTCTCATTACATAAAGATGAACCAATGACTAAGGCTGCACGATATTGGGAAAAAATGGCATTGCAATATTTAATTTCCAGGCGGCGTCCTTTTGCTTTTAGCTGGCGTAGAGAAGATGTGTACCATGGGGTGATAAGTAAAAGATTCTGTCCAGGATTTCAGAGCATGAATGTTGAGGAGATTGTATAGTCCATCATTATACTGTGAAACCAGATCATCAGTGTTGGCTAATTTTTCTGAAGTGAGATTGTGATTCCAGTAGGTAGGTCGTGTCAATCTTCCTGATGTTTCAAAATGAGATGGAATGGAGAGGATTGGTTTTAGGTAGAGGTAAGTTGACATTAAAAGAACTACACTTATGGTCAGAGATCCCACTACCAAATACTACACTCATCTGATATCATCTGGTGAAGGGGACACTAGGGCTCTGTTTTCCACAATTAATATAAAATGAATAAATAGAGCTCAATGTCAAAATAATTTTATACTTACTTAATGTCTTTTTATATTCTTGACCTGACATAAGTAAATATGTATAAATATTAGGGGTGGAAGGGTACACCAGAAGTCACGGTTCGATTTCGGTACAATGGAGGGAAAAGCGAAACAAAAATACAGAAGGCATTGTATTTTTTTTAAAATTTGCTTCAAATTTGTGTCTATCGCGTCTAGTTCGACGCTACTCCAAAGCGAATAGTACGGGCATATAAAGCCAACGTTTGAAGTGAACGTGCGTTCGGAGCTAGCCGATGGTACAGATTACGTGTCCCTAAAGAACCCGCGTATCTAACAGTAGTTCCGAATTACATTAAAGTCCCTGTAAAGGCATTCTACAAAAAAATTCTAAACACATTATAAATGTTACAAATGTATTGCTAAAACATATTACAAAGACCGTGAACTGTGAAGTTCTGAAATACGGAGTTAGACTGTTAAACAGTTTTTCACCATTGCTATTTTACGGATTTTTTGGGCGGGGCTAAAACAGGGCTCGATGACGCACTGGAGCCCCTGAGCTCATGGACACGCTCCTACTTGATGATGCGATGACTACTTGATGACTGAGGCTCATCTCTCCCCCAACAATAGAGCACATTCGCATCCGCCGCTCAATCGCGAGTAACTATCAGTACTATTAGTTATTACAGCCTAGCTATGTCTTCGACACGGAAATGCATAGGCTACTACCTGGATGCGATCATGTACAAAACAGATCGGTGTCTTTATTTAAATTTCCTAAAAACGATCCCATCAAGAAGAGGTGGATTAATTTTGTTATCTAGTTTCTTACTCCAAACTGTCACTGAAATAGCTGACCTTGTCCGGAAATCAAAGCCTTCCACCTGCCAGCCCTACCCACCTAGTTAAAATGTACCCACCCTCTCTCTCCTCACTCATAACTAAAATCATCTACTCATCTCTCATTTCTACTCATGTTCACACTGCTCTAAAAACTGCTGCTATAGACCCTTTTACGGTTTGTACACAATGATGACGTGGCAACATATGCGCGTGCATATTGGCAACGGAAGTATGGCGAGAATAAGCAGTGTGTCAAGCTCGGTCAAGCAACGCGAGTGGATTTTTATTACGCTAGAGGCTGCAGTCTTTAGCCTCCTTGTTAGAGCGCCTGACTCTCATGCCAGAGACCCGGGTTCGAGGCCCGCTCGGACCGGGTCGAGTGGGACCTGGATGTAGGGGTTAAATTGGTGCCGTGACCCGGATGAGAGTGAGGTTTAGGGGGGTGGGTGTAACGGAGGCCAGCTACTAGTTGCTGTGCGAGTAAACCTCACTCCCCTGATCTCAATAGGCGCTCTAGAGGCTGCAGTCTTTAGCCTCCTTGTTAGAGCGCCTGACTCTCATGCCAGAGACCCGGGTTCGAGGCCCGCTCGGACCGGGTCGAGTGGGACCTGGATGTAGGGGTTAAATTGGTGCCGTGACCCGGATGAGAGTGAGGTTGAGGGGGGTGGGTGTAACGGAGGCCAGCTAGTAGTTGCTGTGCGAGTAAACCTCACTCCCCTGATCTCAATAGGCGCTCTAGCGACAGACACTTAGAGGCTGCAGTCTTTAGCCTCCTTGTTAGAGCACCTGACTCTCATGCCGGAGACCCGGGTTCGAGGCCCGCTCGGACCGGGTCGAGTGGGACCTGGATGTAGGGGTTAAATTGGTGCCGTGACCCGGATGAGAGTGAGGTTAAGGGGGGTGGGTGTAACGGAGGCCAGCTAGTAGTTGCTGTGCGAGTAAACCTCACTCCCCTGATCTCAATAGGCGCTCTAGAGGCTGCAGTCTTTAGCCTCCTTGTTAGAGCACCTGACTCTCATGCCGGAGACCTGGGTTCGAGGCCCTCTCGGAGCGGGTCGAGTGGGACCCGGGTGTAGGGGTTACACAACTCACCTTTGGAAGTCTCTCCCTTCATTCATCTGTATGACTGAGTCTATATCCTCTTTTAAAACTTTGCTCAGAATCTACTTAAATCGAATATTTTTTACTATGATTACGGTGATCTCAGATTGTGGTGATGTGGTTTCTCCACTGTATGGATCTTAATGTGTAACTCCAGGTCACTTTTAAAAGAGAAACTCAAACTGATCACACATCTGCAGCTTCTCTCTGCTGTGGATCTTCTCATGTCTTTTCAGGTGTGCTGACAGACGGAATCTCTTGTCGCAGTGTGAACACTTGTAAGGTTTTTCTCCAGTGTGGATCTTCTCATGTGTTTTCAGATTTTCTGACAGAGTGAATCTCTTGTCGCAGTTTGAACACTTGTAAGGTTTCTCTCCACTGTGGATCTTCTCATGTGTTTTCAGACCTGATGACTGATTGAATCTCTTGTCACAGTGTGAACACTTGTAAGGTTTTTCTCCAGTGTGGATCATCTTGTGTGTTTTCAGATGTGAAGACATACTGAAACTCTTGTCGCAGTGTGAACACTTGTAAGGTTTTTCTCCAGTGTGAATTCTCTGGTGTCGTTTTAATTCTCTCCCTGTTGCAAAAGTCTTCCCACACTCAAAGCACACGTACTCTCTCACACCAGTATGAATTCTCTGATGTACTAGTAAAGTACACCGCAGTGAAAAACTCTTTCCACACACAGAACATGAATGTGGCTTCTCCTTCGTATGAACTCTCAGGTGTCTCTTCAGGTGTGATGACGCAAAAAAGGTCTTGCCGCACTGATCACATGAGAACGGCTTCTCTCCACCGTGGATCGTCATATGAGCATTAAGGGATGATAATCGACTGAAGCTATTCCCACATTGTTTGCATGTGTACGGCTTCTCTCCAGTGTGGATCCTCATGTGGACATTAAGGGATGATAATTGACTGAAACTATTCCCACATTGTTTGCATGTGAACGGCTTCTCTCCAGTGTGGATCCTGTTGTGGATCTTAAGGTACGTGGATCGACTGAAACTCCTCCCACATTGATCACATGTGAACGGCTTCTCTCCTGAATGAACTCTCGCGTGAATCTTCAAATAAAACTTGTCTGAGAATCTCTTTCCACACTGTTCGCACATGAATGGTTTTTCTCCGGTGTGAATTCTGATGTGAACATTAAGATCACGTTTGTATGTGAAACTCGTTCCACACTGAGTGCAGGTGAAAGATGTCTTGTCTTGTCTTTTCTTTGAAAAGTTATTTTTAGTCTTTGAGCGACTCAAAGGTTTTTCTCCAGGTTGGACATGATGTTCCTCCTTCACTTCACTCAGTTCTTCTCTCTCCTCCTTCACTTCCATCAGTTCTGACATGAAAGAAAAACTCAAATTTTCAAACTTTCAAATTTTTGAAATAATCAAAATAATTCAAAGAGAGAAATATGAATGGAGATGAGAACTGCTATAAAATACTAGAATAATTAGTCTTTTTATAAATTAATTATATGTCCCTGAAACTTTCTGTGAATGAATTTCACTGAGAAAAAAAACAAATGTTTGAAGTATAGCGGAGTAAATTTTAAAATTATTATTTGTTGAACATGTTTGTAAAAATATGCACAAAATTCAGGTTAATATTTACACTTTATCTAAACTTTATCTAAAAGTGATGAAGTGCTTGAATGTTTCTAACATGAATGTTCTCCAGCATCATGAATGAATGAAGAATAAACACCAACCTCTTTGTTCTTCAGGATCTTCAGTGTGTTTCATTTTGCAGGGTTCTGGACCACTCATGTTCTCACTGTCCTCTTTAATAAACTCAGTCTTTGCAGATTTCAGCTCTTCCTGATGCTCTGATGATCGTCTTCACTTACAGCTGATGGGAATTCACAGCATTTATTCTGCTTCACTGATGATGTGAACTGCCAAAAGATCGAAAAAGTTTAAAAGAGTTTATTTTAATCTGTTGTCCATGAGCATAAAAACAATGTAAATTCTTCCAAATATAATTAATGGCAAGAAAAGCAGTTAAAAAACATTAAAATAAATAAACATAGGCTACATATAGTAACCAACTAATTATTAAAATAGTTTACACCAATGAAATAGTACATTTACAGTAGATGTGAAGACATCCGCATAATAAATGAGGTGAAAACAGGAACTAATGTCATGAAATAAAGAGTGTTTTTTCAGCAGATCTGTTAATATTGATGATCCTCAGACTATCAACACTCATTCAACAAGACATTCAGGATCATCAGCGGATCATCTCACTTTATTCTGAGTGTTTGCTGTTAGAAACACATTATTTGAGTCAGGACTCTAATGATAAAAGGCTGTAAAACTGCTCTAATGCTGTTGTTTTTCACAATATAACATGGATAAATCATCAATAATAGAGCAAAATACTTCAATAAATAACCTCTCTTTACAAACCTCTACAGGCAAAAAACTACAAAACGTTTTGACTTTATAATAACTATTAATTGCAATAAAGTAATTCAATTATTAACGTGAAACAGATTTGTACATAAACTGACAATGATCACAGAATCTTACAAAAATAACTCTTACGTTTCCTGGCTGTCACACTTCATTAATATTTGGGTCAGTGACAAACCAGGTTCGTCAAGATGAGAAATTCGAAAATCTTGTAAAAAGTTGTTTTAAAAGCATGCATAAGGCATGTTAAATAGTGTATTATGTTGATTTTATGTAATGACATTTGCAACATTTTCTACGAAAGTTACACAAAAATAGATTATCAGAGTTCTCTAAATGTAATTTTTGATGTGGTTTTGCAATATTTGGCAAATATTATTTCTAAATAAACTAACAAATTATGTAAAAAAACAACAACAACAACAACAACATATTATTCCACTAAACTAGATTTTAAAAAAGTTTATTCCACATAAATTTTCCTGTATATAAATACATTTTTATGAAAAATACTGGATATGCCAATTGACAAAAAAAAGTTACACCAACTGTCCATGTTGCTTCTAGAGTCAAAGGCCATTGTTTGTTGAAGAAATTGTGACTGAAAATCAAGCATGAACGTCAACAAGTTTAGCAGAAGTGGTTAGATTTTTGTCAATGCTGAAATAGAATTATACTGAAAAGCGTTAATGTGGTTACGCAGTACGTTTGAGCGTCAGCAAGAAACAACGTTCATTCTGGTGTTACGTAAAACTTCAAATGTAAAAAGAAGAAATTTTCTCTTTTAATAAAAGAACACTGATTTTATCTCTGACTGTCATTTATTATACATTTAAAAAAAAAATCAAAGTCATTTAAAAATTTAATCGTGAACAGGGTGAATCGAGATCGCGATTTTATCAAATTCGTTCATTTTGATGAATGAGTTCGAACAGGAGAGTCACGAACGCGCATCACAGAAGCAAGGCGACCATTTGAGCTTATAAAACTTAATCTTTGTTATTTTTTTTTAAATGACCGATCGTTTCACTTGATAAGACCCTTATCTATCGTCTGAAATCGTTTAAAGCCCTTTGAACAGTTTGCAGTTTGCACTGAAACTGTATTTTGCACCTTGAACCGTTTGGACCACATTGTCAATTATATGGAGAAAAATCCTGGAATGTTTTCATCAAAAACCTTCATTTATTTTCGACTGAAGACAGAATGACATGGACATCTTGGATGACATGGGGGTGAGTAAATTATCAGCAAAAGTTTTTTTTTTTTTAAAGTGAACTACTCCTTTAAGGTAGGCCTAATGCCAAAAAGCAGCAAAAATGTAAAAGAAGGCTATAAACTTTAATACTTTAACTTTTGCCACTGAGACCCTTCATGCCACATGATAAATGGGTCGTATTTTTGATAATCCCCATAGATTTCAGTTGACGTTTCGGTTTAAAGTTATTAATAACAAAATGAAAGGAATGAAAAAAGAGCAGGATGTGCTTTATATTGAAAAGAAATATTAAAAGCGGGATACGTTGCGAAAGAGAACAGAATTACTGGCAGGATGCTGTGGGCGCGGCGAGCGCAACACAGAAAAGCATAGCCTTGTCTTCGGTTGCGCATCTAAACGCCCAAATACAGAAATATATAAAAATGGCAAGTCGAGTATTCACGTAAACACAGTAAATGTAAGTACAGTGTTTTCTTTCTCACTCATATGCAGACAGAGAGGATTTATGCTCATCAGTTGATAACCCAACCTCACAGAAAGCCCTTCACAATTAATATTGAAACTTTGCTAAATATTTGTTTGTTTTCAGCCTAATGCTGTTGAAAATTTGGATAAAAAAATAAAACAAATTTGAAAAAAAAAAAAAACATGTCTTTAATAATAAATAAAAAATAAAATAAATAAATAAATAAAACGCCCCTGGTGTAGTGTAAAAGCGCCATTAATTTCCCATTCATTTCTTACATAGACGTTTTGGAAAAATACTTTTTGTGTGTAAAAGAAAACAAAAATGATGACTTTATTCAACTACTCATTTCCCTCTCTGTGGGCCTCGAGTGAGTTCACATGGTCTGTGTTGCACATAATTGTGTTCCATTGACATGCTTTACAGATAAATAGTTATAATTATGGTTATACCAAACTAGCTGATATGTTGTTTTATTGAGAATTTCACCTTTTTTAAACTAGATCAATTATTTGGTACAAAGTTTTGACGGTTACACTACATAGACATTTTTGCAATCATGTCCCAAATATTCTCTCAAAACGTACAAAAAACTGATATTTTAGATTTCGTCCTCAAAAAAGAACATGTATGCAAGTAATTTTAATTTGAAATGTTAACCCTTTTAAATGTATTTAAACCATATGGACACACACACACACACACACACACACACACACACACACACACACACAAATAAAGTCATTGAACAATTTTACTATATTCCCATGCATAAATAGATTTGAAATTCCCCACGTTCATTACAACTACAGGGGCAATAATGTGTTAGAATAGACCTACATTTTAAAGGAATTTTAAGTAAATGTATTCTGCCAAAGATAAATATAGGCTACATAGAAGTGAAGGTATAAATGAAAATCGAAACAGTAACACTTTTCTCCAACAATTCCCCTCACAAATCTCATACTTTGCCTTTTGTTTTGACTTTCAGTAAGTTAACGGTTCTCACTCCAAACATCAAGACAATCACACAAACGAACAGATTCTCCTCAGGCTCGCTGCTGCTGCACTAAATGTGTATTTCAGGAGAAAGACGCCAGAAAAGACGCCCATGTGTCGCTGTGATCGACGAAAACAATACAGAAATGAGTCTGTCGCTTAATCAAACTGTATAAGGGTGTGTAAATACCGTGAACTGCTCTCCTCACCTCAGAAATATCGACGCTGAAACAGTTGAAAGAGACGGACCGGACGGCGCGAGCAGTGACGTCACCCCCTCCCCGCCAGTATGGTTGGGGAAGACGGGGGAAGATACCACCTTTGCCTCTGATTGGCTAGATGGGCTCTCTTCCGATTGGCTAACCCCCCCCCCCCCTCTCTCTCTAACCCACCTATCGTCTCTCTCTCTCTCTCTCTCTCTCTCTCTCTCTCATCACAAATCTCCAAAACTACCGCAACTGCTACGTCTAATGAAAACGCGTCCAACAGAAGTGAATTATGCAAGTAAACAGTGTGGTAAGCGAGTGTCATGATATTTGTATTCCTACTTCAAATTTTCATAGCATGTTCAAATCGTGTTTAGATCAGTCCTAGACGTTTGAGGTAGTTTTGTGACGAGAGAGAGGGAGAGATTGGGTTAGAGTGTGCTTTGAGCAGTTTTTTTCATTGCTTCAAAACTGTGACAATATTGTGACACATTTAATTGGCTTTTATCGTGTATCCTGACTAAAATAATGTGTTTCTAACAGCAAACATTCAGAATAAAGTGAGATGATCTACTGATGATCCTGAATGGCTTGTTGAATGTGTTGATAGTCTGAGGATCATCAATATTAACATATCTGCTGAAAACACTCTTTATTTCATGACAATAGTTCCTGTTTTCACCTCATTTATTATGCTGATGTCTTCAGATCTCCTGTAAATTGTCACTTAAAGGGATAGTTCACTTTGAAATTAATTTTTGATATGTTTTAGCTTACCTTAAGGACATCCAAGATGTAGGTGTCTTTGTTTCCACAGTTTCAATGTTGATATTTTTCAGTCAAACCGTTGTTGTCTATCAGTCATATAATGGAAGTGGAGCCCACCTCAAAGAGCATACACAGAGAAGTCCAAATTTAACATGATTTAATGACCCGTATGTAAGTACACATTGATGGCCTAAGACACGAAACAAGCGGTTTGTCAAAATAATGATTGAAATTTGAAAATACTGTGGAAACAAAGACACCTACATCTTGGATGCCCTTGAGGTGAGCTAAAACATATCAAAAATTAATTTCAAAGTGAACTATCCCTTTAAAGCTCATTCCTGAGGGGATTTGTTGGTTACTATATGTAAACTTATGTTTATTTCTGTTTTTCAACTTTGTTTTTAATTACCATTATTTATATTTGGGAGAATTTACATTATTACAGTTACAAAATCAGTAACTGTATTAGTAATAAGTATGGTAATAGTATTTTATATTTTGGCAGATCAGCTCCTCCCACATAAAGCTCCTCCCACTGTAATTCATTATCAGTGAAGCTCCTCCCACTGCCATTCTCCAATAAATGCTGGAATATTCCCATCAGCTACAAGTGAAGTCTGAAATCTGCTGAGTTTAGGACAGTGAGAACATGAGTGATCCAGAACCCTGCAGAATGAAATGCACTGAAGATCCTGAAGAACAAAGAGGTTGGTGTTTATTCTTCATTCATGATGATAGAAAGATTTAAGTACTTTTCAAATCGGTACACAATTTATTATTACTGTTGTTATATTTTCATTTTCAACAAATTGTCAGTAAAGAGATGTTTGAGAAACTTATCAAGTTAACCGTTTTTGCAGCCATGTTACAAAAATGTTGGACAAAAATTTCACAAAAATTTCCCAATATATATAAATATTAATTGCGATTAATCACATGCAAAATAAAAGTTTGTGATTACATAATATGCTGTGTATATAATTATTTTGTATATACATATATACATGCACACACACACACATATTATGTAATCACAAACTTTTATGTTGGATGTGAAAAACATACAAACATATCTAAAATGTTTGAACAGTAGCGTAGGTCTAAAGTTTTTAAGGAAAGTCTTTGTGTACAGAAAATATATATTTAGATAACATTTTTTTCTTAAACTTGATTTTGTGAATAAGCTACAAACAATACATTCAACCAATCATTAAGTCTCCTTACATTCATTCTCTATAGTTCCCTCAATCGTCATTGATATTCCCAGCGGAGAGTCGTTGTCTCTTCAGGTGTGAATCACAGCATTATTCATGATGTTTCACACCAGCCATTCTGACATTAAGCGCCCTATTTGAACAATCTAAGTGCATGGTCCTTAAATAACACAAAAATATTGTCCTTTTGGTTTGAAAGGGTCTTTTTATGTTATTAAAAAGCATAACAAAAAGCAAGTCCGGGTGAGAAAAACTAACGTAAAAGTAACGTAATGCATTACTTTTGTTAAAAAGTAACTAATGCGAGGGAGTAAGACAACATTGTATTTATTTATCACTTCAGAAAAGTGATTTGTGCCTATCATGTCTTGAAAATAATAATTTGAAAGAGCAATGTACCTCACTCATGCAATTCATTTATGAAAACACACCAGAATTATCATAATATGTTATAGCAGTTTTCTAGTAACTTACATCAGGGCTCACTTTCACATTTCTCTCGTAGAATTGTTTTGATGTACTGAAAATTAAATACATTTCTTTCCTGTCAGACCTGATGGAAGAGAGCGAGGACAGTGAAGAACTGAGTGAAGTGGAGGAGGAACATCATGTCAAACCTGGAGGAAAACCTTTGAGTCGCTTAAAGACTAAAAATACATTTTTAAAGAAAAGAAGAGCCAAGAAATCTTTCACCTGCACTCAGTGTGGGAAGAGTTTCACAAGCAATAATCAACTTGAGATTCATATTAGAGTTCACACTGGAGAGAAGCCGTTCTCATGCGATCAGTGCGGGAAGAGTTTCACACAATCAGGAAACCTGAGGTTACACATGAGGATCCACACTGGAGAGAAGCCGCATGAATGTGATCAATGTGGAAACAGTTTCACATTAAAACATAATCTTGAGGTTCACATGAGAATTCACACTGGAGAGAAGCCGTTCGCATGTGATCAGTGCGACAAAACATTTATTGGGTTATCACAACTGAAGGCACACCTGAGTGTTCATACGAAGGAGAAGCCACATTCATGTTCTGTGTGTGGAAAGAGTTTTTCACTGCTGTATAATTTACAACTACATCAAAGAATTCATACTGGTGTGGGAGTTTACATGTGCTTTGAGTGTGAGAAGACTTTTACTACAGCGAACTGTTTAAAACAGCACAAGAGAATTCACACTGGAGAAAAACCTTACAAGTGTTCACACTGCGACAAGACATTCAGTTGGTTATCAACTCTGAAAAGGCATGAGAGGATCCACACTGGAGAAAAAGCTTACAAGTGTTCACACTGTGACAAGAGATTCAGTCAGTCGACAGATCTGAAAACACATGAGAGGATCCACAGCGGAGAAAAACCTTACAAGTGTTCACACTGTGACAAGAGATTCAGTCGGTCATCAACTCTGAAAACACATGAGAGGATCCACAGCGGAGAAAAACCATACAAGTGTTCACACTGTGACAAGAGATTCAGTCACTCATCAACTCTGAAAACACATGAGAAGATCCACACTAGAGAGAAACCACATACGCGTGATCAATGTGGGAAGAGTTTCACGCAATCAGGATCTCTAAAGTGTCAATCCACTTAAATGTAAATCCACACTGGAGAAGAGAAAAACTAGTTTCAGACACAAATCAACTCTTAACCACAAGAAAGGACATTTAACTGTGATCAGTGCGCTAAACATTCATTGGGCTTCAGTCCTGAAGAAACACCTGAAGATTCACACATTAGAGAAGATTCATTAGTAATATTACAGCAGAAAAGACACGGCGGTGTGTGTTTCAGTGATGGAAGTCCTTTACTACAGACGATAAATAGAAAGATCACCAGGAAATTCACACTTTTAAGAGACATGAATCTGATTTTACAGTTTTTTTTTAATTGCTAAAACACTAAACTCTCTGAATTTGTTGAATAAATCACTTTTTCTGTTAAACGTTAAACTAGTTCTGGTAGTAAAAACACCGTTTTCAAGTCTCATGCACTCTTTTTTTTTTTTCAAAACTAAACACATTCTCACTCTGTAAAACCTATTTTACACTATGATGTTTCAAAACACTAAACACAGGCAGGCAAAAGTTAAACAAAAGTAAAGCCCAATTGTCACACACAACGACTCAAAATTGTTCACACTTATTTCTATGATGTGTGTAACGACTTTTCAATGCCGTTGATAATAGGAGTGATATGCAGAAGGATGTAGATGCATACAAATGTCTTTCTTTATTACTTGTGCTCCATTAAACATGATCTCAAAACTTGTCTTGTGGCCTGTCCTTGCTCACAAATCCAACAAATGGCTCCTACACACTGGCCGTTTAAGTGATTACGACACATTGACATAATTACAAATTCATACAAAATGCAGACATGCAAACCAATTCAAGTTTTGTACAAATGTATGTAATGGACAGTCAATTCAAACACTTAAAATGTTGAATGCCCTATTTTAGTCTGCTTCTAGTAAAAGGCAAAGCTTGCTAATTGGACGTTCTAAGATAATACTTTTAGTTTCGCTGAACATACAAAACCCTTGTTGTCTGGGTAGGTATAATAAAATAATACAAAATCTCAGCTGACTGGTCACTAGAAACAAACTAAGGGACATAAAAATAAATAAATAAAACAGCTGGTGCATATAACAAAAAAAGTAATAAGTAATTAAAAATAGGTAACTTTACTTGACATAAAAATGTAATTAAGTGTTAATACTCTATCAAATTATTTTATAACAGTGTAATGAATATTTTTCTGCCTTTGTACAAGTTTAACTTGGCATTAAATGTTAAGTGGTATGTCAAATCATTTTAATTACCTTAACAAAATGCAACAGACACATTGAAAGATTATATTTAACTTTATGTATGTGCACAATACATTAAATACGACACATTTCCTTCCTCACACAGAGGGTTCTGACATGTTCTAAAATAGATTAAAAAACCCTTACGAAATATAATTGTGCTTCCTCAAACAGAGGGTTACAAAATAATCTCAACACATATTTAGTGTTTTGGAGGGAAGACAACAGGATAAACTTGTTTATGAAAAAACTGTTTACTTGTACATTTCTGGGAGGAGACAGTTTAATCCATAAAGCTAAGTAGTTTCTTAAGTTTGATAATCTGCTATGTTATGTTAATGATATGTATGTTGTCTTGGTAATGTCAAGTTGTCATGACAAAGACACTGACAGGTTATGATGTGTTGGTTTTTGTACAGGGGTCATAACAAAGACATCTCAAACAATGTCATATTTGCAATTGAAATGCCATAGTTGAGTTAATGACACTTATTATGACATAACATGCATAGTTGTCATAAACATGCATATTCTATTGAACCTGATGCTAATAATGTCAGAGTGTCTGGTTTGTGTTTCCTGGGTAACCACTAGAGGTCCTCTGTCCTACACTCTGTTACTACATTTGAAGCCACTGCCGCCCCTGTGCAACCTGCTGTTGTCCCAGAGGCCGTCCCATACTGTATGCTGTCGTCCCAGAACTCCCCACCATCCGTCCTGCCACGTCTGTCCTTCACGTCGCGTCTGCCCAGTCAGAGACTGTTCACGTCGCCATCTGCCGAGCCAGATACTGTTCATGTCACTGACACTCGGAGCCAGAGACTGTGCACGTCACTTCTGCCGAGCCAGAGACAGTTCACGTCGCGTCTGCCCAGCCAGAGACTGTGCATGTCAGGTCTGCTTATGAAGAGACTGTTCACGTCAGTCCTGCCATGGCCAAGAGAACGGTTCTCTCATTTTATGCTTTGGCCATGCTGTATGCATGGAGGACGCACATGGTGTCAGCAGATCCAGAGACTGGTCACGTTATGTCTGTTCCTGATTTGGAGCCAGAGTCTGTTCCTGAGCCAGAGCCAGCGTTTGTTTCTGAGCCGGAGCCTGTTCCTGAGCCAGCCAGAGTCTGTTCCTGAGCCGGTGCCAGAGTCTGTTCCTGAGCCGGAGCCAGAGTCTGTTCCTGAGCCGGAGCCAGAGTCTGTTCCTGAGCCAGCCAGAGTCTGTTCCTGAGCCGGTGCCAGAGTCTGTTCCTGAGCCGGAGCCAGAGTCTGTTCCTGAGCAGGAGCCAGAGTCTGTTCCTGAGTTGGAGCCGGAGTCTGTTCCTGAGCCGGAGCCAGAGTCTGTTCCTGAGCCGGAGTCAGAGTCTGTTCCTGAGCCTGAGCCAGAGTCTGTTCCTGAGTTGGAGCCAGAGTCTGTTCCTGAGCCGGAGCCAGAGTCTGTTCCTGAGCCGGAGCCAGAGTCTGTTCCTGAGCCGGAGCGAGAGTCTGTTCCTGAGCCGGAGCCAGAGTCTGTTCCTGAGCCGGAGCCAGAGTCTGTTCCTGAGCCGGAGCCAGAGTCTGTTCCTGAGCCGGAGCCAGAGTCTGTTCCTGAGCCGGAGCCAGAGTCTGTTCCTGAGCCGGAGCCAGAGTCTGTTCCTGAGCCGGAGCCAGAGTCTGTTCCTGAGCCGGAGCCAGAGTCTGTTCCTGAGCCGGAGCCTGTTCCTGAGCCAGCCAGAGTCTGTTCCTGAGCCGGAGCCAGAGTCTGTTCCTGAGCTGGAGCCAGAGTCTGTTCCTGAGCTGGAGCCAGAGTCTGTTCCTGAGCCGGAGCCAGAGTCTGTTCCTGAGCCGGAGCCAGAGTCTGTTCCTGAGCCGGAGCCTGTTCCTGAGCCAGCCAGAGACTGTTCCTGAGCCAGAGTTTGTTTCTGAGCCGGAGCCAGAGTCTGTTCCTGAGCCGGAGCCTGTTCCTGAGCCAGCCAGAGTCTGTTCCTGAGCCGGTGCCAGAGTCTGTTCCTGAGCCGGAGCCAGAGTCTGTTCCTGAGCCGGTGCCAGAGTCAGTTCCTAAGCCGGAGCCAGAGTCTGTTCCTGAGCCGGAGCCAGAGTCTGTTCCTGAGCCGGAGCCAGAGTCTGTTCCTGAGCCGGAGCCAGAGTCTGTTCCTGAGCCGGAGCCAGAGTCTGTTCCTGAGCCGGAGCCAGAGTCTGTTCCTGAGCCGGAGCCAGAGTCTGTTCCTGAGCCGGAGGCAGAGTCTGTTCCTGAGCCGGAGTCAGAGTCTGTTCCTGAGCCGGAGCCAGAGTCTGTTCCTGAGCCGGAGCCAGAGTCTGTTCCTGAGCCGGAGCCAGAGTCTGTTCCTGAGCCGGAGCCAGAGTCTGTTCCTGAGCCGGAGGCAGAGTCTGTTCCTGAGCCGGAGCCAGAGTCTGTTCCTGAGCCGGAGCCTGTTCCTGAGCCGGAGCCAGAGTCTGTTCCTGAGCCAGAGTCTGTTCCTGAGCCGGAGCCAGAGTCTGTTCCTGAGCCGGAGCCAGAGTCTGTTCCTGAGCCGGAGCCAGAGTCTGTTCCTGAGCCAGAGTCTGTTCCTGAGCCGGAGGCAGAGTCTGTTCCTGAGCCGGAGCCAGAGTCTGTTCCTGAGCCGGAGCCAGAATCTGTTGTGTCACAGTGTCTGGTTTGTGTTTCCTGGGTAACCACTAGAGGTCCTCTTCCCGCACTGTGTCCTACACTCTGTTACTACATATCCCATGATCCTGTCTGTCACTGAGTGTTCATTGTGTTCAGCTGTTTCTCGTCACCTTGTTTAGCACTTGTGTTTATATACCCTGTCAGTTTCAGTGTTTGTCATGGAGTCCTTGTTTAATGTCTTCACACTTCAGTTTATATATCTGCCTGATTCTTGTTTGTTTCGTGTACCTTTGGATTGCCTTATTGGATTTTTGACCCTTGCCTGGACTCTTGTGAGTATGGATTACCCTTTATTAAATACTGCTCTTGGATCTCACGTCTCCTGTGTGTGTGTGATCGTGACAAATAATTACTTTACAATACTTTAAAAACTGTTTAAGAATTGAGGAGTCATGGATAGTGGATACTTCAGTAACAAGCCAATTTTATTACTAATGATTTTATTTATACAACTGAACCAGATACAGGAAATGTTTAAATAAAGAAGTGAAACTAACAGCAATGCTCTTGCGTGCCAAATTAGAGCTTATTCATTGAGTTCTCAGGGTTTCATCACTCACTCTGTCAAATGAGAGGAAGTTCACAAGCAGAGAAGCTGATGATGTTTATAGGAAAGAGCTGTAACTATATATAATGAAGAGGAGGAGTTGTAACTATATATAATGAAGAGGGGGAGCTGATAGTGTATATTATGAAGAGAAAGACGGACAGAAGCAGAAATGTCTAATCAGTGTGATCTGTGTCTGCTGGGACTGATCATTCTCTCTTCACTTCTCACAGGTAAAGAAATCTGTATTTTCTCTAAACACATTTAGTGGAATTAGTCTGGAAAGAGTTGATTTGAACATGCTCAGTTTATTCTTGCACACATTCACGTTGTGATCTCAGAGTTGTGTATTGATACACACAGATCATACTGTATTATTCCTGATACCGGACATAGTGTCACTCAAACATCTGATGATGAAGAATGATCTTCATATTAAGAGTGTGTCAGTGATTTGAACAGCTCTCTGATAAACACTTATAGTTTATTCTGGAGAGTGTGATGTTTGCTTTTAGTGAGGAAAAAAGATTGTATTTGAATCTTCTGCTTTTTACTTGTGTTTCAGGCACCAGTGGAGCGGATGATGATCATGTGTTCATCAGTTCTGGTGTAGATGTCCGTCTGTCCTGTAATAATGCTCTTTCTGACTGCAAATCAACTACATGGATCTACTTTAACAGCTTCAGTCATTCAGGAGTAGTTGGACTGATTGAATTAGGGGTAAAGAAGAAAGACACAGAGAGACTGAGTCTGGAGTCTGACTGCTCTCTGAACATCAAGAACGTCACAGAAGAAGATTATGGATCTTACACCTGCAGACAATTTGTGAACGGACAACAACAAGGATCTGATGCACCTGTTTATCTGAATGTTCTTCATGGTAAGTTTATGATGATAGTAAAATTCTTCCTTTAAACTTCCTTTAAAAGATTTGTGTCTTATTTTCAGTTTCAGTGTCTCCATCATCATCATCATCTTCATCCTCACAGACTGAGATCAGTCCAGGCCGCTCTGTGACTCTCTCCTGTCAGTTGTATTCATATGATGGAAACTCCTGTGATTATTTGGTTCGTTCTGATGGAGTTGAGCTGTTGTGGGTGAATCAGGCTGGTGTTGATCTGAAGACAGACTCCAGATATCAGATATCATCATCATCATCATCATCATCATCAGATCAATATCGCTGTATCATCATCACTCTGACTACAACACTCCTGAATGAAGATAACAACAGACAGTGGAGATGTCAGCTTATTCACAGAAATCAACTCCAGACCTCAGTCACATACACTGTCAAGTATTCAGGTGAGAAAACACAGTAAGAAGACAGATTGTGAAAACTTTCTACTCTTTAATCACACGTCTTCACACGTTTGCCAATTGTACGGTCTCGGTGTTAGAAGTTAAAGTTGTGTTAAAGCTGCATCTCTGTTCGGAATCTGCAATTGCAGTTATTTGTAGGTAGATTATACTTTGTTCTCAAATTATTAATGTTAACAACATCCAGCATTGCATGACTACATTTAAAGCACTTCTGATTTTTATCCTTGTTTTCTAATGGGTCCGGTTGCAGTCTCTTTTTCCAACCTTTATAGATGCTCGAATCTCCCGCAGACATCCACCAGAACCACTGGAATTAAAAACATTATTACAAGCTTACCGTTTTGAATTGAGCTACGGCAAGCAGACAGTTTTGAACACTGGCTGGTTATGTACTTGCTCAAAAAATTATTTTGGATCATTTTGAACCCCAAAAAGTTACGAACTTAAGTGAATGTTAATAAATATAAAAATATAATGGTAATATTGTACGGTATCAATCATCTAAACAAACTTTAATCCTTCACAGCTCCAGTTGATCCAACGCCAGCAGTGAGTCCTTCTACACAAGGTACATGATGATGCTGATGCGTCTAAGCCATTGATAATATTATTCACAGAACAGCTTTTTCTAACATAATAAATATGATTGTTACCATATAGACCCCACAATAGATATACCCTAATGCAATATGTAGTAATTGATAAGATATGTCAGCTTTTTCTTTTTGTTTCTTGAAAGAAGAGCAATGAACAATTAATAAATCACATGGCATTAATCTCAGAGTCAGAATCATTTGAAATCTCATCCGGTGTCGATGGCTTTTGTCTTTGTCTATAACTGTCCCTAATCATCCTTTTCAGCTCAAGCTGATACAACAAAACCATATATAAACATATATACTTTTATAATTGTCCTCAGTCTGGCCTGTCCGTCTCTGACTCTGAGCTCGATCTCTTCTTCAGTCATAGGGATTTCTGTCGCTGCAGTCGCTGTTCTCCTTCTTGCTCTTCTCTGGCTGATCTGCAGAAAAACAGCTGGTGAGATTTCAGATTTACTCCTTTACAACAATTAAAAACAGTTCAGATGAGCAAACAAACACATCACGTTCAGACTGGAAGTATCACAGAAACATGTGGATTAAAAAACAGAAGTTTATTCCTACTGATAAATCCTATAATGTCAATCTCATCAAGTTATCAAGTCAATCATTTTTATCATTCATTTTTAATGCTTTAACAAATTCTGATTTAATTTCATGATGCACTTGTTTTCAGGTAATAAAAGAGGGACTGGCGACTCTGCGGTGAGTTCAGTAATGCAGTGATTTAGATTTGATTAGTCTTTAAAGCTCAATAAAGTTTCATTCATGCAGTTTAACTGTTTATTCTGAAGGTCAAAGATGAGGATGAACACAAAGAGACGTATGAGACGATCAACATGTCCATTCCTCCTGCTGCAAGAGCCGATGTGAGTCTCTAAATCATCAAATATTACGTTCACGTTTGTGTTATTCTACATATTTTAGTGAGAGAAATGTCTGTTCTGTGTGTTAAACTCGACTCTCTGTACGTTTGCATTGATGTTTAGGAGCAGACAGATGATGTGACTTATTCTGAGGTCACTTCTTCCAACACAAAGCCAGTAAAAGCTCTCGATGTGAGTAGATATCAGCACATGCACTAATAATAATAATAATCGCTGCGGTTCAAACATTGATGGACAGAATCTGTTCTTTCAGGATCATGATACAGTGACTTACGCTGCCATCAGAGGAAGAGAAGATAAACCGCAGCATGAACTTTACAAGAACTAGACCATAAATAAACATTAATGACACGGACCATGAGCTCATCATACCAGAAGCAGAGGGGAAGTTTTCATCTCTCTGGTGTTTGGAGGAACTATATATGGAAGATATTTGTTGAATCTCCTGTGAATATGAATGAGATTTATTGTGAATCATCATCTGGTCTGTCGTCAGTCAGAGCACAGAATCTCCTCTATATCATCACAGCTACAGTAAAGATAGAGATTGAAGCCCTGAAATGTTTTCATACAGGCCATTTTTTTAATAAATGTCGGATATTTCTTTTTGAGTCAGGTCAAAAAGTCATTTTAAATCCATACAAATGTTAATAGGCCTATAGATCATTTTTAATAAAGTTTTAAATGCATATCTAATAAGTGATTATTATGAAGGTAGAAATACAATATTTTTTATTTAAATATCAAATAAATTGAATGACTTTCCTAGGATTATGAGATTTTACCTAGTTATAGACCTTATTCAGAGCAGCGCCATGACAGGTATGAAAGTGAGGCTGTGAGGGATAGACTTACCGTATTTCCAAAGACATTTTAAGACTTTTCAAGGACCCGCGGGGACCCTGTCCGTCACTGGGGTTAATGGCATTTATGACTGTTCCCTTACCATCCTAGGGAAAAAAAATGATCGCTCTCCAGATGTAGATCTACATTTTGCTTCGTTTCGCTCGGACATTTGACGGCGTGTATAGACAAGCGGAATCACTCGTAGACATAAACGCGGATAGCTCAAAATGCGTAGAGATAGCACGCCACTTGACTCGAAAGTGGCGTTTATGTTCACGCAAAAGTCATGATGTCATGTTGATATTAGCGCGCCAAGTCAAAGTGCTCCCAAGCATTTACTATGGTATTCCGCCATACAATATAATTATCTATTTTTAACGCTTAGACAAGTGAAACGTTTTATTTAGTGTCAGCTTGGGTCGAGCTACATGACTCGAGTAACTGTTTTTAAATTTAAAATTGAGGAGGTGTTTGGTCGCTTCTCTTTTTTGCCCATATTTAATGAACTGGGCTAAGCTAATTGCTAACAAAGTTTCGCAGCAAGACAGAGCGATATAGTGCACGCACTGAGACAAGAGAGGTATGCATCAACTTGTCTTAGTTAAGGGAATAACATAGTTTAATATGAAAAACCGGTGGAGTATCCCTTTAACAGATCTGCTGAAAACACATTTCATGACAATAGTTCCTGTTCCCCATAACGTCTAATCTCCTAGCCAGTTTTTCCCTTCAAACTTACTTCAATATATCATAGCAAAGCAGAAGTTGTGTCAACTAATTTTGCAAGCTAAAGGCAGTTTTGCAAGCTTCATCTCTCTGAAGCAAAAGGATATGTGTTAAATATGTTGCCCTATACCTATTCATACACATACGAGATACGCATCACACTTACTTTGTGGCAAGCAGAAACATACAGTACTTAACAGTCTGTCCACTTTATTTTTAAAACAACTTTCCTCAAAAAGTTTTACCCCAATTGATTGTGTTTTATAAGTTTCATATCAATCTTTCATTGAATCGCTCTTGTTTACATCATCTCTCTTGCTTTGTCTCCTGATGAGGACCTTCCCATATTCTATCTTCTCGTTTTCTTAGCTTCTCTTTTCTCTTCTTTGTTTTGTGTCTTTTGAAGACTGGCTCCAAGCAAATCATCCATGTTAATCTCAAGCTTGTTTGTTAAATTTGGTTCTTCACCCAGAGAATACTGAATACAATCGACAAAGCTCAATGTTATTCAATGCAATTTCCTAATCGTTTTTATTGTCATGTGTTCTTGACAGAAATATATGTATACTTACATGAATTCAATGAATTTCTTTATTTCATTGATCTGAACTGACAAATTAATGGAAGCTTGTTTCCGCCATAGAATGAAAAATATAAAAGGTAATTGCGACTTTTTATCTCACAATTCTGACTTTTTTTCTCTCAATTGCAAGATATAAAGTCAGAATTGCGAGATATAAAGTCAGAATTGTGAGATATAAAGTCAGAATTGCGTGATATAAAGTCGCAATTGCGAGATAAAAGTCAGAATTGCGGCATATAAAGTCAGAAATACGAGATATAAAGTCAGAATTGCGAGATATAAAGTCGCAATTGCGAGATATAAACCCAGATAGCAGACTGACATTGAATCAACGTGGAAATATGACATCGAAACAACGTTGATCTGACATAGTTTTGCTCATCGAATTAACGTTGAACCAACGTCAGACGCGTCATTCTTTCAAAACTAACGGAAAATCAACTTGAAATCAACGCGTTGTTTCAACGTTATGAAAGCAAACCAATTTTCAATTTTCATTTAGCTTTGAAGAATGCCGCGTCTGACGTTGGTTCAACGTTAATTCGATGAGCAAAATCAACGTTGTTTCAATGTCATGAGAGACGTCGTTTCCACGTTGATTCAATGTCAGTTTGCTGTCTGGGAAGTCAGAACTGCGAGATATAAAGTGCAATTGTGAGATATAAATCAGAATTGTATGATATAATGTCGCAATTGTGAGATATAAAGTCAGAATTGCTATATATAAAGTCGCAATTGCGTGTTATAAAGTCAGAATTGTGAGATTTTAACTATTCTGAGGGGAAAAAAAGTTAGTCTTTTTTCCCCCTTAGAATTGGCCTGATAAGTTGCAATTGCGAGTTTATATCTCACAATTCTGAGAAAGGATGTCAGAATTTCGACATATAAAACCGCAATTATGTGTTATAAAGTCAGAATTGCGAGATGTAAACTCGCAATTGTGAGAAAAAGTCAGAATTGTGAGATAAAAAGTCGCACTTCAGTCTTTTTTTTCTCAGAATTGCTACTTTATATCACCCAATTCGAGCAGAGCTTATATGCTCCAAGAACGGACACTACACAAGTGTTTTAAAACACACACAGGTCTTTTAACTTAAGCAATATTTTAAATAAGGTATAGTCTTATAATATTTTTCTCGCTGACAAAGTAGGGTAGATTTAAATAAATAAAAACAAAAATTAAATAAATAAAACAAAATTTAAATATAGAAAAACCGAGGCATGCACTTCTGTCCATTCAAACTCCGCTGTTCTGCGCTCTAGCCGGAGAATACTCCCATTGCAGGAACACTTTTTGTAGTCGAAGAAGAAGCAAATATATTTATTAAGTAGCTATAGCAAAGTTAAGTATTATATTTCATCAGATTTTACAGTGTAGGCTAAAACGTATTCAAGCGTGAATGAGAACCGTTTCGAGGGGGTGCCAGGTGTGGAAAAAAAACACAACAACAAATATTTTCAAGTTAAATACCAACTCATCGAATGAACATTCGAATATATCCCAATTTGGCTATAGGGTGATGTGTGGCTAACTTACACAAAGGAGACTTTGTTCCTCAGCACAAAGAACTTATAACCGTGATCTTAGACTGGAATTAAATGGTTTCTCCACTGTATGGATTAGGGCTGTTGGAACGAATTCCGAAATTCGAATACAATTCGAATATTAAAAAAAAATCAATACTATTCGAATGCTACTCGAATATTGCTTTTTTATATATATATATATATATATATATATATATATACTTCCAAAGTGAACAGGTGTAAACGGTCCCTTATCGCTTTCTTATTAACAATAGGAGAGCGCGGGACTAGCTTTCGCGTGGCACATTCGCAAGGTCTCGTTCACTCCCTCTCTGCCATGCACGCGCCGCGCGCTATGTATGTTATGCGCGGATTCCGGGAGATTTAAACTAATTTGCGGCCATCAGGGAGACGCTATCAATATGCGGGAGACTCCTGGAACTTCCGACGGATATGACCATCACCTCAGATCTGAGCCCCTATTCATCAAGCCAACGCGCCGCTATCTATCGCAAATCAAAGTGAAAGTAAGTCGCAGACACTTAACACTACCATCTTCATTAAAAGTAAAGGAATGAAATGATATTACCAGGGCTGTTGCCGATCTCTCTTATTTCTGTCTTTGCTGATTTTAAAATTAGCCGATGATCAATAAAATGCAGCTCAAATCTGTTGCTTTCGGTGACGTGCACTTCATTACATCTGTATATAGAGCGGGAATTGAAGATCGGATTTATATCTGTTTTGCAAAAACACATTTATGTGACCAGGTGTAAACAGCCCTTAAATGTTTATTGTAGTGATGTTAGATGTCCCTCTAGTGGGCCAAACGTGTAACAACAACCACAGGCTATAGTGGCATTGACGATCCATAAGAATGTGTAATGTCGTAAATATTAATAAAAGGATAAATTTGAGCATTTAATATTCGAATATTATTTGAATATTACATTAAATAAGGAATGGAATTCGAATAGTATTATAGAGGAAGATTGACAGCCATAGTATGGATCTTCATGTGTTGCTTCAGGTCACGTTTAAAAGAGAAACTCGTCCCGCACTGATCACACGCGTGCGGTTTCTCTCTGCTGTGGGTCCTCTCATGTTTTCTCAGAGTTGATGACACACTGAATCTCTTGTCGCAGTGTGAACACTCGTAAGGTTTTTCTCCAGTGTGGATCCTCACATGTGTTTTTAGATATGATGAGTGACTGAATCTCTTTTCACAGTGTGAACACTTGTAAGGTTTTTCTCCAGTGTGGATCCTCTCATGTGTTTTTAGATAGGATGACAGACTGAATCTCTTTTCACAGTTTGAACACTTGTAAGGTTTTTCTCCAGTGTGGATCCTCTCATGTGTTTTCAGATCTGTCGACTGACTGAATCTCTTGTCGCAGTGTGAACACTTGTAAGGTTTTTCTCCAGTGTGAATTCTCTGGTGCAGTTTTAAACCGTTTTCTAAAACAAAAGTCTTCCCACACTCAAAGCACACGTACTCTCTCACACCAGTGTGAGTTTTCTCATGTTTATGTAAATATTGCAGCAGTGAAAAACTCTTTCCACACACAGAACATGAATGCGGCTTCTCCTTCGTATGAACTCTCAGGTGTCTCTTCAGCTCTGATGCCCTAAGAAATGTTTTTCCGCAGTGATCACATGTAAACGGCTTCTCTCCGGTGTGGATATTTATGTGTTCTTTAAGGTGTGAATATTGACTGAAATCTTTCCCGCATTGATCACACTTAAACGGCTTCTCTCCAGTGTGGATCTTCATATGTCGCTTCAGGTGACTTTTACAAGCAAAACTCTTTCCACACTGATCACACGTGTGCGGTTTCTCTCCAGTGTGGATCTTCTCATGTGTTTTCAGATAGGATGACACACTGAATCTCTTGTCGCAGTGTGAACACTTGTAAGGTTTTTCTCCAGTGTGAATTATCAGGTGATGTTTTAAACTGTTTCCTGAAATGAAAGTCTTCCCACACTCAAAGCACATGTACATGTTTCCTCCAGGTTGGACATGATGTTCCTCCTTCACTTCACTCAGTTCTTCTCTCTCCTCCTTCACTTCCATCAGGTCTGACATGAAAGAAAAAAATATGAAGTGTAATTTTCAGAACATCAAAATAATTCAAAGAGGGAAATATAAAGTGAAAGGACATGGAAGTGAGCCCTGATGTAATGGTAGATAGTAGTCAATCGTTATAAAATTTTATGATAATTTCATGACTTTTTATAAATTGATTGTCTTTGAAACTTTTTATGAATGAGGTAAATTTATCTTTAACGATTATTATTTTTAAAACATTACAGGCTTGTTTCTTTAACAAGAATGCCATGTTTTGACACCAACTTTGAGATTGATATTTAACTAAAACATTTTAATTCACACTTGATTTTTTCTTCATAGACTTCCATTCATGTGAATGTGGGACACCAGAAACACAAGCTCAAGTGAATTACTGTGAGAAATAACACAAACGTTTAGCGATTGTTTATTTTGAATTCAGTTCATTTTGTATTATTATTATTATATGGTATTATATTATTATTATCTGTTAAATATAACAGAGTGTGACGTAATTTTACTACCGTTGCAGGGTCTGCAGAAATTTCACATGCTCAAAGTGGCCGCGGCTTTAACTGGTATTAAATTAACACGTTTTATTAGCTTTGGTACCGATAGTTGATTAGTGGAACTTTTGTTTCAGCAAAAATCCATGCCGATGTTTTTTCCTGGTCACGTCTGTCGCTGGAGCAGCTGAGAAGTGTGCACGGTCAGTACACAGTATGACAGCGTTGACAGACTGCTGGCATTATAAAGAGCGAGAGCGCCCTCTAGATGACAAATAACAAACTATCACTGGCTGAGTTGTTTACATTAACACATGAGGCTATGTGCAGCACGGAGAGACTTCAGAAGACAGCGAAACATGACAAAAACATATGCAAACCTGATACAAATGTTTAATGTTGCAATTGTTACCATCTGTTTGTTTGCATTTGTTTATATCCAGCTGATCAGCTGCATTTTATGCATTAATTGGCCGGCGAAAATATGTATTTAAAGCAACACTATGGAACATGTTGTCCCTCAGTGGTTCATCAAGTCGTAACAAAGTGAACGGCACTTCTGGATTTGCTTTGCGGTCATATATAGGGTTGGGTATCGTTTGAATTTGAACGATTCTGATTCCGATTCCGATTCATTGTTTCGATTCCGGTTCCTAACGATTCTCGATTCCGATTCTTTTAAGAGGGAGGGTCAAAAAAGTTTAGCTAACCTTGCTAACCAAAGGTTTTTCTGAAGGAAATAATACTTTCTGAAGAAAATACTCCTTCTGTCACAAATTTTGAATTTTGCCGAGATTTCGTTATTTTTAGAAAAGTGAAGCCACACTTTGGACCGCCGACGAAGCTACTCATGTTCGACTCGCGCGATTATGCCAACACTTCCGGTAGACGCTTCTTCGTTGGTGTTGTTCAGCGGTTTCTTCTTCCGGTCGGCGGACTATGAATATAGAAACTAGGAATCAAAATTGTAACTTTTGAACGATTCCGGGAAAAACGAAAAGTTAGTCCCGGTTCCAATCGATACTCGATACCCAACCCTAGTCATATATCTGCTATAATCACACTATGCACGTTTGCCAGATCGGGTCGTGTTTCTGTAGTCCAAATGAGACAAAAATCTGTTAATGTTGTTGAAAATTGGGAACCAGATAAAATACATGTAAAATAAAACAAGTTAAAATAGTATTTAATTTAGTTTTTGGTTAACAATCAATATAAAAATGTCTTAAACCTCCCTTTACTGACTTTTTTTTAAAACCCTCTGTACCATTTCATAGTTTTAACTCTTTATCTAAAAGTGATGAAGTGCTTGAATGTTTCTAACATGAATGTTCTCCAGCATCATGAATGAATGAAGAATAAACACCAACCTCTTTGTTCTTCAGGATCTTCAGCGTGTTTCATTCTGCAGGGTTCTGGATCACTCATGTTCTCACTGTCCTCTTTAATAAACTCAGTCTTTACAGATTTCAGCTCTTCATGATGCATTAATGCTCGTCTTCATTTGTAGCTGATGGCAATATTCCAGCAGTTATTGGAGAATTCCTGTGGGAGGAGCTTCACTGATGATGTGATTCAGTGTGGGAGGAGCTGATCTGCCAAAATTAAAAATATAAATTACTGAGTTTGTTTTAATAATAAACGACAGCATTATGTATGTCTATTCTTTGTACTGTAACTGATGCCAATTCATTAATTATTTGTATTAATAAGCCTAACATTATTATGCTTCTTCATTAAAATACAGGTATCTAGAAATGTAGAAAATAATATTAGCCAACAAATCCATGCAGTCTGCTGACACCAATTAAATTAGCTTTAATTGACAATTTTCAGTATATATCTAAATATAGTTTGACTTGATAATAACAATTGCAAGTAATTCCATCATTAACATACATTTGTACAGAAAATGTAACGTTTACATGTCAAAATTAATTAATATTTAGCCTATCTATATTCCCATGCATGTATCTGAAATTTCCCACGTTCATTATTCATACAGGGGCAACATACACCGTTTACATCCATTTTAATAAGTAATATGTAATCTGCCTGCCAAATATAATGTCGACAAACAAATAAACAAGGTAAACATGAAAATGGCCACAGCAACACTTGGAATCGATTCCCACAAATTCCCCTCACAGATCTCAAACTTTAACTTGACATTCAGTTACAGTTTTCACTCCAAACATCGAGACAATCACACAAACGAACACACACTCGCTCAGGTCTGAATGAACTCCACATATTCTCCTCAGGCTCGCTGCTGCTGCACTAAATGTGTATTTCAGGAGGAAGACGCCAGAAACGACGCACAAGTATCGCTGTGATCGATGAAAACAACACAGAAATGAGTCTGTCGCTTAATCAAACTATATAAAGTGTGTGTGATGGGTGTGTAAAGATGAGAAATACCGTGAACTGCTCTCCTCACCTCAGAAGACTCGACGCTGAACTCAAGACACGGCGCGCGCGACCGGTGACGTCATCGGCCTCCAACGCATGCGCATATGGGAAACCCCCGCAGCAAATCAGGGCCACGCAGATTCAACTTTACTAGTAGACTTCCATACATTATTGTTATTTTTAGTAAAGAGTGACTCCATTTACTAAAGGTGAAAGGAATTTTTTCAAGTGAAGCACAAAACAGGAGGATCGTCTCCATCCAGTCTGAAAATTGTTTAGAATAGTAGGGCAGGCTATATATTTTTTTCAGACTGTGATCCTCTGCGTATTTGTAAGCTTGTTCTTAAGTTTGCAGTTTAAATGGCCAAACCAAGCAGAGAAATAAAGGTCGAAACACTTTCAATGTAAACTCCGACTCAGTGTCCTCCTAAGACAAGTGATCAGCACTTGTAGAATTTCCTTTTGTTGAAACCCCAGATAAAAGTAAAAAGCTGCTATTATGTTTAGATCCATGAGGCAGTTCGACTAGCGCATATCCTTATGAAAAAAAAACTTCTACATAAGGCTGTATTCACATATTTTTACTTTATTCTACTAAAAGCTACTAATTACATCTTCAGCTTTGTAATATGATTACTGTACCATTTTATATGAGTAATTCCTTATTTTACTATTAGAATAAAAAGTAATTAAATTACATTAAGTAATTAATTAATAAGTTAGAATTGCATTACACCCAACACTGATTTTTTAAATTGTATTTCAATGACTATTTAAAATACCCTTTAAACTTTGACTAGGCTAATGTGATGGATGGTTTTGCATGTGTGGTTTGCACAATAAGGAAACAAAACATGGAAATATGGGATCCAATGCATAGAGAGTAAATCAGTTCCACAGCATGTCTCATTAGTTCCGGGGTTTATTTTAAAGTCATGAAATATCGTAGCTTTGTGGTTGTGCATTGTATTGGATAATTTTTGAAGGTGAGAAGTTATAATAAATATCTTCAATGAATTAATCACAATTCATTCAATGAAAAATAGAATTCAATTCAATACAGTATAAAGATAAACATCCCTTCCTTGTGTTGAACATGCACAATTCTACATGAATAAAACAAATAATCCATAAAACACATTTTACAAACACAAGGAAACAAAACGTGGAAATAAAGGATCCAATGCATAGAGTGTAAATCCGTTCTGTATAAAACTCAAGACAATGCACAAGATAATAACGATTGTGCCACATAATACAAAGTCAAAACAAGTAATATATTCGACGCCAAACACAAACACAAGTTCCCTAAGGAGTTCATTGAAGGAAAAATACACAACAAATCAAGAATTTATGTGTTTAATACACTTTTAACTGATAATCCTCCTGCTCAAACCGTGCAACTCATATCTTGTTAGTTCTGCTGTTGGCGGTCCCCATTCCACACGTTAATTACCATCACCCTGATAGCACACGTACATCCCGGAGATGTCTATTTGATGAGTGCGTATTTTTTTTTAGAGTATTTGCTCATCTGCAATCAAAAGATGACAAAAAAAATCAGAAAGAGTGTTTAACTCCTAGACATGCAGTGTAAATATCAACTGCAAAATTCCCCCATAGAAAGTTTGCAAAAATGGACCGGTACCAACATCCAGACTTAAGCCCTATTCGCACGGGATTAGTATTACCTGGGGACCACGTGTGAAATTGAAATTACCCCCCCACATCTGAATTTCATGTGGCACATTCGCACAGGATAAGCAAAGCCTGTGATTTTACTCGAATTTACTGACTTATCCCACGGATATGATGTCATTGGCTTTGAAATGTCTTGTCGGTATTATTTTTGTATATAGCCTAATAAATATAGCGCGCATGGGGCTGGCACGTAACTTACATTCGCAGACTCATATGAGTATTCAATGTGCGGCGGCTCGCTGATTGAATGAGACGACCCGGTTACTGTGAACGGGGAGCGCCGGGGATAGTGTGTCTGTTCGTGTGTATAAATCGCTACTTATTATAAAGCGCACTGTCGTTTTTTGAGAAAATTAAAGACTTTATAGTGCGGAAAATATGACCTCGCACTCAAAATACTATCAAAACACTCCAACTCAGCCTCTATTCTTCGCGAAAGATGGATAAAAAGAAGCAGATGAAACAAAAAACTTGAAAAAATGATATACGATCCGGCCAAATCACAGAGATGTCGATTCGCACGGGACTAATATTATCACAGGACCTCGGTGTTCGGCGAAATATAGTAGGTAATTTGCTGGGGGATTTTTACTTTACAAATTACAGACATGGCCGATTCGCACGGGATTAAGATCACAGACAAACTCCGCAATTATTACAGGTCACCAGGTAATACTAATCCCGTGCAAATAGGGCTTAAAGAGATGCCCTAAACACCTATCTTCACATACGCAATTCAAGGTTTGAAATTACTTCTCAAGAGACAATATCCCTGTAGCGGCAAACAGTAACCGCTAAGAGGCTGAGTAGAGGGAATAAAAGGTGACGCGTTTCCACTGCAGATCCAAATGATTTATTGTAACATTGGAATGAACATGATGGATGATGACAGAAAAGTAAACCAAAAGTAATGAAATAGAACAAAACTAAAATGAAATGAAAACGGTCAACAGAAAGTGAGCGTCCCAGATACTCACCCCCTTCCAACCTGCTAACCACACACAAACTAACAGGTAATATGCACCTACAACAAATGACGTAACAAACTGAAAAAAACAAATTTCAAAATAAAAGACACCAACCTAAACCTGGCACCTACAATCCCCACTCAAAACGAATATTCGATGTTCATTACTACCGAAGCTTCGAAGCTCAAAAAATGGTATTCGGACCAGCCCTACAAAATTCATACCTCAGTTTTAATCGCACTATTTTCTATCCATTTCTATCAATCGGCACTGCTGTTAACGTCAACAGTAAGCACGTTCCGATCAGCTGTTCCATAGTGTTTACACAATCGATTGCCAACGACGTAAAAAGTATAAAATGAACAATGGTGCGAACTTGTAAGTCACCACAAGTGACCGAGAATGTGCCGGGATCACTGTTCAGATTCCATCGTTTTCCTGTTTCGGATATAGCTAGGCTACGAGACAGCTTTGGCCGGTTGCCATCGGCTACTCCGCGGGAGCTAAAATATTCAGAATCAAGGATTTTCGTGTGTGCAGTGCTCACTTCAGCGAAGACGATTACATCCCCAACCAAGGAGGAAAAAGAAAAAAATTGATTTTAAAGAGTTTTATTGTAACGTACCAGAACCACGGGTAAGCTCTATTTACTAACTTTATGATCCCATGTCTAAACTGTATGGTAAAAAAGCTGATGTTTAGACTCCAATGGAAAACACGTGAAAAGATGTCTAATATAAAAACAGTATATAGAGATATTGGTACAATTTGCTGAGAAAACTATTTGATTGAACACACACAATTGAGGTTTTGTGTTGCAATCAATCACATCTGCAGTATACAGTATATAGGGGAGAGCGGGGCAATGTGAGACATCGGGTAATGTGAGACACCCCCTGTATCTAGTCAACAAAACACATTTGTGGTTGTGTGACCATTATGTTTTTAAGCCCATTCCATTTCCTCTTGGCCATAAAGGAGAGGAGCTCATGGTGCTGTTATAAACATGTTTTTTGCATGTAAAAGTAAATTTTCTTGCTGTCAACTTATTCAACTGTTGTGGTAAAGCAAATTGATTCAGGTAGAAAAATTTATATCATACATGTTGATGAACTATTAACATATGAAGCCATGTGCTTCAGCCATAACTGAAGAGTATCCTGAATTACTAAGAGAGATCGTTTTTATCTAAAATGTGGCAGTGGGGTAAAGTGAGACAAATACTATGGGGTAAAGTGAGACATGAGGCACAAGTTAAGTTTAGTCTTAAAAATATTTTAATGTAATATTACATTACACATGTTTTCTTTTTTAATGTCATTGACATTGTAGAAAAGCCATCATGCCAAGATAATACACCAGGAAGACAACCTGGGGCAAAACACCCCTCGAGGAGATGGAGAGTGCAGCCGCTGAG